CGAAGTTCACATGCAAACGAGGAATGCATCTTCAGCTGGACAAAAGTCTCGCAGACCACCACATCGTGAATCCATATGCAGAGGATGGCGAAGAGCATCATTTCGTGTTGCCACATGGGGTGGACCATTTGGAGACCCACAGAGGTCCGTGCAGCGAGCTTGTTTATGGTCCCCCCTTGTTCGATTCAGACATGCAGAAAACGTATTGGGACCCCGAAGACATTACCCCGTTAGATTACTTGGACGGCTTCATCGAGGTGCGTTGCGCAAGAAACGGCTCCAGCGCGTCGCTTCAGGTGATTCAATACTCTTGCCGTGAGCTCATCCCTTTCTCTGTCATGTGGGCAAACGACCCAAAGCTACCAGGGCAGTTGGGGCCCCAAGGGGCTCAGTTCGAGTATGCAGAGTTTCATTGTGGTGACCCATTTGTGCAGCATGGTCCGGACCTTTTGCAAAGTGGCGTTCACGAGCTTGCTATGCCCCGAGCGCACACACTGATGGACGCCCTCGGTGCATGCGAGGATGACAGGAGCTGCGCAGCTGTGGCTGTGCATCCCGACGGATCCACATTTCGCATGCTGGATAAGTTTGCGTGCAGCCTTGTCCCAGAGGCGATGAGCACACAGTTTGATGTAGGGGACGAAGTCCAACTGTCGTTGATAGTGCAGAGAACGCCGCTGGATGGCAAGCCAGATGCCACGGACACGAGCAAGACGCAAATCGGCGTCGTTCTTGAGAGCTGGAGCCTGGAGTCACCAGAGTCACACGTGCTTGTCCAGTTTCAGCATGGTCCCGTGCGGATACTGCCCGAGCACTTGCAACACATGCGGTTGTCGTGGACCATAGTGAGGAAAATCCGTGCACGCCAAGTTGTTTGCAACGATTTGCAAGCCGAGACCAGCTGTGACGTATACAGCATCAATGATGCCGAAGTTCTTCAACGGGGCTCTTCGCTCACTCCTGCAAGCTGTCAGCACTCGTGTTCCTCTCGCATGCAGAGTTCCACTCTGCTGAGCGGATGCTGCATTCTCACCTCGGAGGTGTGTGCCTTGACAAGGGGTGTGCATTTCAAGGGCAGTACCGACAGCGAAGATCGGCTTGAAGAATCAGCTGCATCTTGCAGGCAACTTCCGTGCTCGTTAGACCCGTCTTGCTCGTTCGGAGCTGGTGACTTTGGTGTGCACTCGGACCCAAACGCTGAGGATGAAGGCGCTGAAACCACCGTGTACTTCGATTTTGCACATCCATTAAGCATGCCTTTCTATTTTGACTTGGAGAACTTGAAGATCTTTCACTTCACTTCGAAGGACAAGCGCGCCAGAAAAGCAAGGCGTGCAGGCAGACTGGTTCATCCGATTGGATCTACTAGCGTCACCCCCTCGAATGCAAGCCGTGTATATCTGGGTCTGGAGGTGAACCACATGACTGACTTTCAGGTCGCACATCACCAGCTGCAGCGTGTGTGTGATGCTTTCGGACAGAAGCTGGGTCGGAAGTTGACAGCTCCGAACTTGCAGGAGGCTGCTGGATCCGGTGAGTGCGATGAACCCCATGAAGCCTTTGAGAGCTGTTTGATCAAAGTTGGCTGTGGAAAGTTGGCGGGAGATCATCAACCCTTTGCACCGCCATGGTTTGCTCAGCTCCCCTTTGACATTCTGGCTTGGCAAGCTCCAGCTGCATTCTGCTGTGCGAGACCGTACACGATCGATCAGCGGGAGGACTCCTGGATGAAGACCTTGCTGGATTCGGCTGGTATCCAAGCAGTCTCCATTTCAAAAGTGGAAGATTCCAATTTACACCAAGGCATGCAAGCTTCTTTGGAAACAGGCTCCGCAGCTCTCAAAAAAATGCTGTCCAGTCATATCGCCGATGAAGAGATGTTGAACTGGCTCGGGCAGTTGGTGCGGACTGCCTTGCGCGAGTTCAAGAAGATCCTTACCGACTTAAAAGAGACCATAGACTCGGAAGGCCCGGAATTGGAGATCTCGTCGGATGGCACCTCTTTCTTCCAAGTGCATGAGTTTGGTGATCAGCAGACGCCGTCTGGCCGCAGAGGTACGGAGGTAGCCCGATGGTCTTCAGAGAGAGGTGCCTTCCTTCAGGTTGACCCGAAGTCAAACAGCACTGGACTGCAAAAGACTTGGAACCTTGTTGCAGCAATTCCAGGAGCGATCTTCAACTACGGTTTGCGCCCGCTCTGGAACTTTTTGGCAAGACCATTGCTGAAGTGGGGGCTGTCTTTGATGAAGTGGGTCCTCGAACATCCGAGAGCAGCATTATTTATTTCGAAGTTTGCACTGGCCGTGCGCAATCGCATGTGTGAGAAGGCTTCGTGGTTTGTTTACGGAAAGCCGACGGAGTCCACTGTCGGGGCTTTCACCAAAATGTCCAGTGCTTTCAGCGAGCCGCGTCCTCGGTCCCGCAGCCCCCAGTTGCAACACCGCCAAAGCCTCTAAGGCAGCCGCAACTGCAGTAGCTTGAGCTTGCTCAGAACTACCATGATGTGACATTGGATATGATATGGCAGGATGTGTAAGCAGCATGCGCAGAGCCTGGGTACGGAAGCTGAGACAGTGATGACGGTGACAACCCCTGTGCCGTAGGCTGTGACAGTCGATGTCGTCTGCTTAGCAATCCTTTGTGTCACTTTGTGCCTCTGCTACGTACATGATCGGACTTGTCGTTGACGTCTGACGTGTTGAGTTTGTATCTTAAGGGCTGAGCGCTTCTTCACAGCATGACCTTTCCAAGATCTTCCAAGGTTCAGGAACTACACCGCGCAGATGTTTACGCCGGCTGCGATGCTGACAATGCTACAGGATGTAGTTGGCTCGTCCACGTTCGTGAACACCGTGGCAGACATAGGAAAGGCTAGCTATGCCCTGGTACTCGCATGGACCGGCTTTGCATCTGGTGGGGCCGCAATGGCCCTACTCTCCAGTTTCTCAGCACTGCTTGCCGAGGCCTCTGTGGAGGCAGGAAAGCGTGCGCTGGAATTGATCGTATACCAGGAAATTGCCAAGGAGATCCCATCGAACCTCTTCGATATGCTTGTAAACAAGTGCTTGCACAAGCGTGAGAAGACGAGAGTGACATTGGCAGCTTCCAAAGACGAGATTCTGGCAACTGGCAAGAAAGCAGTGGAGGAAGTAACGCAGAATTTTGTGGAAGTAGGGCAGGGACTTGCCAATGAAGTTTCACGCTGGACATCCTTCCTGAAACGCTCCGAATGACCCGGCATGCTGCCAATTAGAATCCGAGAAATTTTCCGCTCGAGCGAGAATTGTCATCATTTGATGTCCTTTGTATGGTTGCGAGAGGTGACTGAGAAGGCAGACTCTGCGCCGAGGCTGATCAACGTTGCGGGTTTCCATGCGCACTCTTCCCGAATGGGAGTGCCACTGGACGAATAGTTTGGGGCAGTGCCGCGAACACAGGAGCAATGACACGGAGGTTTTGAAAGCCGAGTCACAAGTGGAGCACTGTGGAGCATGTCCTTCAGCATTATAGTTGGCTCATGAGTTCCGCAGGCACGCGAAACTTGTCTCATGCCATCTCGCAGACTCTTGCCTGATTGCAGCTCCGCGACCCTGTAACGCGCCATGAGGACGAGCACGGAGAGCACCGGCACAGGCTGCAGGCTGCAGAGCATTGACAAGATTTTCAAAAGCAGTTTCATTCGCAACGATTTGCGATACAAGTTGTTGCTTTGGCCTGCGAGGCTGGCGAAGGAGCGAGATCCGAAGCAGCACGTGCTGGATTTCGGTGACAACCTCTGATGGACTCGGCCAGGCACGGGGCGTACTATTTCCAGCTAGTCGGGTGCCGCGGGAATCCGTGAAGGCCATGCACAAAAAACACTCACGGCAGGAAGCAGATCCTATCCTTCATGCAGTGGCTCACAGCACCCGAAGAGCAAGAAAGGTTTCCGAGAGGCCGAAGACAAGAGGCCAACTAGAAGGCGGACCCTGACCTTCTGCAAGCATGTTGCCGCAAGCAGATTTTCAGTCCCCTTGTCTAAAGGCCACTTGCAGTCGCTTCCGAAGGAACAAAAAGCCGCAGAAGAAGGAGAGTAGGAAAGGTTGAAGGCCACTTCTGGACCGTTGCTGTGCATGCCCTTTTCAAGTTCAACACGCTCCCAGTCGCCACTATTTCCTGCATATTCCGTGCAGATGAAAAATGACATTCAGCATTGAAAATTGACCGCTTTGAGCTTCAATTGTCTTCACAGCTAGGCCATGTCACAGATTAGGCTACAGTGATGTATGCTCCGCGAGGCTTTGGCCGAGCAGCAGAAGGTGCCAGCACAAGCCAAAAGCTTTCTTCTTCTTCTTCCAGCCTGTTCAGTGTCGACCTAGTATTCGCAGTAGCAGTATCAGCAGTAGTGCCAGTAGAGTAAAGGGGGCTGGGGAACACGGCAAGAGCAATGCCGACGGCGAGGTGTCGGCTGTAGCAAGGGCAGCAGCAACAAACACTTGCAGTGGCAAGCTTCAAGGGTGGCAATAGGAATTTCAGTGCAGACTCGGCACTAGGTTGGAAAATTGCACAAACCAGGGGGATTGCCGTGTGTGGGCTCAGCAGAAGTAAGCCGCCTCATGCCGGCTGGACCATGCTTGAGCCCAGGAAGGTTCTAGAGCGTGTCGTTCGGTGCTGGTAGGGCCTTGCAGCGTTTACAACAGGTAGGGTTGTCCCTATTTGCAAATCCACCACGGAATCGAATCGACCGGAATCCAGACTGAATTCATCCTCGACTCGACCCGGGCTAATCTACCGGAAGCTTCCGCAGGGGGCTCCTGGCGTTCGGGGCCTATCCTGAGATGTTATGAGACCATGGTGAACGCACAGCGGAAACAGTGCGGCTCGGATCTTCGACCATGGGGTAGGGCTCGTTTCTGTGATGGGCCCGTCTTGGCTCAAATGCGCGCTCGGTCCCGATCTTTGTCCGACTAGTTGTTCGCTTTCCTGCACCTTGGCTCTTTTCCATCGAAGCGGACGGCAGGATGTTCTTCCTCGCAGTGGCCGCTTTCAGCTTGCTTCCCTGGTCGGTAGCAGGGAAGATGGCCGTCGTGCGAACCTTCGCGACCAGTCAGGAGGTCGCTGTGCATGGGTTGGCTTGGGCTTATGCCTCGAACTTCGCTTCGTTTGTTTTTGACTTTCTGTTCTGCTTTGGGCTTTGTTGTCTAAGTCTGCGCCACGGGGTCCTCATAGTTTTCAGGCTTCGGGGATTACTTTTTCTCGAGCCCTCCAGAGTTTCAGAGTCCTTGAGATCAAGCACTAGCTGTGTAAGCAGTTCCGGATGCGCCGAATTCAGGTCGCGGATCTGATGCAGTCCTACACGGAGTGGGAGTCGACCATGCCGTGCGCAAGTCCTGGCCAGAGCAGCACGGTAGACCTGATCTTGGTTTACAGCAAGGATCTCGCCACGGACTCCACGGCCACGGCCGCAGTCCAATCCTATGAGTCAGGCTTCGCGCAGAATGAGCACTGGACCGGCTGCTTCGGAGGCATCAAAAACTTTTCCGCCAAGCTTGCCCCAGAGGAAGACCACTACGACGACCAGGGCTATGCAATGAACAGGCACTGGGTCTCAGGTCCCAACATGGTGTTTCAGCACGTTGTGGAGGCCATGTTCACCGGAGCCTTTGCCGGTGAGTACGACAGCTTTTTCTGGATGGAGATGGATGCCGTTCCTGTGAGGGCAAACTGGCTAGACAAGTTTGTGGAAGAGGCCGCAGAGATGCCTGCCATGAACATGGCCATCCGTGGCAGCCTCTACGAGGGAGCCAACTGGCAAATGTTCTCACATATGATGCCATCCTACTTGCTGAACCACATCAACGGCAATGCCATCTACAACCTGCAGCACCCGTGGACGAAGTTCCTGTTCGACACTTTCACTGCAGAGGGCAATGCCGACTTGATTGAGGAGATGGCCTTCGACACCGTGTACTCAGCCATCACGGCAGTTGCCATGGAGGGCTCCAACGTAATGCTTGCAGCAGCATGGGCAGCTAGCAACGGCTCGACCATGACCTACAGCTCTGACACTGAGCTGATCCGAAACTATGCCAACACCTTGCTGAACAGCAGCTACGACATCGGGGCGTACATTCGCCACGGATCGAGGCATAACATCTTGGAGAGTTTGGCGGGTGACATGGTCACGCTTGGTGTTCTTTCCATTGATGGTCAGAACGACCGCATGCTGAGCAGCCTGTCAACCAATCACCCCTTCAAGAAGGTCCTCATGCTGACGCACTACCCAGTGACGACGTCCACCCAGACCATCGAGGCGCCAGGCGGCGCTGTGACGCTGACCATCGAGGAGGCTGAAAGCAGCCCACTCATGCACATGTGCGAGGTGGCGGACAAGGTGACGACACCATGGTTTGCCTTGGCAACCAACCTGCACCACATCAATGCGCCGGTGAGTGTGCTCACGAGCATGGGCGAGCCAGTGATGCCGTATCTCCTGGCCACTTCCCCCTACTGCGCCAGTCGTCCTGACTGCAAAGCGGCCTTGGATCAGGCGGATGAGCTTTTTGGCATCTCGCTGAACTACCACCATGACTCGAACGAGGTGCTCTTTAGAACTTCCGATGCCACGAGCTTTTGTGCTGCCTGGATGACTGCCGCTGGCAACAAGACTGTCGAGACTTGCGAAATGGTCTTCGGGCCCACCGCAGACGACTTCGTGGCTTGGCAGATTGCCGTGGGCATGAACGTCACGGGTTTGCCGAAAGACAAGACACGCTATGGCTGGAGGCCTTGGACGACCCTGTGGGCTCCAATGCCTGTGGATGAAAGAAATTGCTCGACCACCGTCTATGGTGAAAAGGAGTACCTGGAGTCGCTCGCCTTCATCCCGAATTGCAGCGTCTATGTGGAGAATGCTTCCGCCTGCGATGCTGACACCATGTGTTATTGGAGGCCCATGTTCGAGACGGGCATTTGTGCCACGCAGTCGACGGGCACGAACATGATCGTGAACATCACTGTGCCTCCAACCACAACGACTGAAGAATATCTCCCAGAGATATCTAAGGCTTGTGGTACCATGGCCGTTATCGGTGCAGTTTTGGCTCTGTGCAGGGCTACTGTTGCCTGAGCATAGATAAGCCCATGTTTGACGCAAGAAATGCTGATGCCGAAGTGCAGAAGCGTAAGTCAATGTAGTGGCACAGACTTGCAGCCGTGAGAAGAAAGGGACTCTGTGGCTCGATCAGTGCAGCAAGCCATGCATGACCCCACACTCCAAATTCATGAGACGCCTGATCCCAAGCCTGAGGTGTGTCCATTCCATCCTCATGACGACACTGGTGGACTACCAGAATTTGCCCCTGTCTCTGTGCCAAAGGCCCGAGCCCTAGAGCTGTCAAGGTCCGAGGGCTAAAGCTGTAACGATAAGGATGACGTCGATGTCAAGATGATGGTGATGATGGCTTCCTGCACGAGGCGTGCTGTTATGGCCGCCGTCACCACCATCAGCCCCATCAGAATCCCCTTATTACAAAGCTGCCAGCTCCGCAAGCACCACCATCACCACTAGCGCCACCAGCACCACCAGCCACCAGCATGCACGAGCACAACCGCCATGATTTACCATCGCCATTACGGTTCTTCACACGATCAGCGAAGCCTGAGGCGTGGCGTTGCAGCTTTCGACACAAGTGCGTGTTCGGGTTTCCAAGATCCAAAGCTTCTTCTTCTTCTTCTTCCAGCCTGCTCAGTGTCGACCTAGTATTCGCAGTAGCAGTATCAGCAGTAGTGCTAGTAGAATAAAGGGGGCTGGGGAACACGACCAACCGGTGGCAGCAACAGCAGCAGCGGCAGCGGCAAGAGCAATGCCGACGGCGAGGTGTCGGCTGTAGCGAGGGCAGCAGCAACAAACACTTGCAGTGGCAAGCTTCAGGGGTGGCAATAGGAATTTCAGTGCAGACTCGGCACTAGGTTGGCAAATTGCACAAACCAGGGGGATTGCCGTGTGTGTGTGTGTGTGTGATTTCTGAATTTGGATTCGGTGGCTCAGCAGCAGTAAGCCGCCTCATGCCGGCTGGACCATGCTTGAGCCCAGGAAGGTTCTAGAGCGTGGTGCTGGTAGGGCCCTGCAGCGTTTACAACAGGTAGGGTTGTCCCTATTGTGCAAATCCACCCCGGAATCGAATCGACCGGAATCCAGGCTGAATTCATCCTCGACTCGACCCGGGCTAATCTACCGGAAGCTTCCGCAGGGGGCTCCTGGCGGAGACTCTGCCGAATCCATGTGCCTTGCCTCGTGGATCCTGCTACAGATAGTGCTCCTTCCACGCGGAATCCGACTTTAGAAGGCTTGTGCTCGTCCTCAGTGGACCCCCCTTTGCTCCCCTGTCCCCGAGGTGCAGACTTCGCCGGCCTGAAGACGAACAACCTTGAGCTTCGACCGCTGCAAACACGCAGGGGCCTTATAAATAGTCAGAGTCTGATGTCTGTTCGGAGCCTATCCTGAGATGTTATGAGACCATGGTGAACGCACAGCGGAAACAGCGCGGCTCGGATCTTCGACCATGGGGTAGGGCTCGTTTCTGTGATGGGCCCGTCTTGGCTCAAATGCGCGCTCGGTCCCGGTCTTTGTCCGACTAGTTGTTCGCTTTCCTGCACCTTGGCTCTTTTCCATCGAAGCGGACGGCAGGATGTTCTTCCTCGCAGTGGCCGCTTTCAGCTTGCTTCCCTGGTCGGTAGCAGGGAAGATGGCCGTCGTGCGAACCTTCGCGACCAGTCAGGAGGTCGCTGTGCATGGGTTGGCTTGGGCTTATGCCTCGAACTTCGCTTCGTTTGTTTTTGACTTTCTGTTCTGCTTTGGGCTTTGTTGTCTAAGTCTGCGCCACGGGTGATGATGGCTTCCTGCACGAGGCGTGCTGTTATGGCCGCCGTCACCACCATCAGCCCCATCAGAATCCCCTTATTACAAAGCTGCCAGCTCCGCAAGCACCACTAGCGCCACCAGCACCACCAGCCACCAGCATGCACGAGCACAACCGCCATGATTTACCATCGCCATTACGGTTCTTCACACGATCAGCGAAGCCTGAGGCGTGGCGTTGCAGCTTTCGACACAAGTGCGTGTTCGGGTTTCCAAGATCCAAAGCTTCTTCTTCTTCTTCTTCCAGCCTGCTCAGTGTCGACCTAGTTTTCGCAGTAGCAGTATCAGCAGTAGTGCTAGTAGAATAAAGGGGGCTGGGGAACACGACCAACCGGTGGCAGCAACAGCAGCAGCGGCAGCGGCAAGAGCAATGCCGACGGCGAGGTGTCGGCTGTAGCGAGGGCAGCAGCAACAAACACTTGCAGTGGCAAGCTTCAGGGGTGGCAATAGGAATTTCAGTGCAGACTCGGCACTAGGTTGGCAAATTGCACAAACCAGGGGGATTGCCGTGTGTGTGTGATTTCTGAATTTGGATTCGGTGGCTCAGCAGAAGTAAGCCGCCTCATGCCGGCTGGACCATGCTTGAGCCCAGGAAGGTTCTAGAGCGTGTCGTTCGGTGCTGGTAGGGCCCTGCAGCGTTTACAACAGGTAGGGTTGTCCCTATTGTGCAAATCCACCCCGGAATCGAATCGACCGGAATCCAGGCTGAATTCATCCTCGACTCGACCCGGGCTAATCTACCGGAAGCTTCCGCAGGGGGCTCCTGGCGGAGACTCTGCCGAATCCATGTGCCTTGCCTCGTGGATCCTGCTACAGATAGTGCTCCTTCCACGCGGAATCCGACTTTAGAAGGCTTGTGCTCGTCCTCAGTGGACCCCCCTTTGCTCCCCTGTCCCCGAGGTGCAGACTTCGCCGGCCTGAAGACGAACAACCTTGAGCTTCGACCGCTGCAAACACGCAGGGGCCTTATAAATAGTCAGAGTCTGATGTCTGTTCGGAGCCAATCCTGAGATGTTATGAGACCATGGTGAACGCACAGCGGAAACAGCGCGGCTCGGATCTTCGACCATGGGGTAGGGCTCGTTTCTGTGATGGGCCCGTCTTGGCTCAAATGCGCGCTCGGTCCCGGTCTTTGTCCGACTAGTTGTTCGCTTTCCTGCACCTTGGCTCTTTTCCATCGAAGCGGACGGCAGGATGTTCTTCCTCGCAGTGGCCGCTTTCAGCTTGCTTCCCTGGTCGGTAGCAGGGAAGATGGCCGTCGTGCGAACCTTCGCGACCAGTCAGGAGGTCGCTGTGCATGGGTTGGCTTGGGCTTATGCCTCGAACTTCGCTTCGTTTGTTTTTGACTTTCTGTTCTGCTTTGGGCTTTGTTGTCTAAGTCTGCGCCACGGGGTCCTCATAGTTTTCAGGCTTCGGGGATTACTTTTTCTCGAGCCCTCCAGAGTTTCAGAGTCCTTGAGATCAAGCACTAGCTGTGTAAGCAGTTCCGGATGCGCCGAATTCAGGTCGCGGATCTGATGCAGTCCTACACGGAGTGGGAGTCGACCATGCCGTGCGCAAGTCCTGGCCAGAGCAGCACGGTAGACCTGATCTTGGTTTACAGCAAGGATCTCGCCACGGACTCCACGGCCACGGCCGCAGTCCAATCCTATGAGTCAGGCTTCGCGCAGAATGAGCACTGGACCGGCTGCTTCGGAGGCATCAAAAACTTTTCCGCCAAGCTTGCCCCAGAGGAAGACCACTACGACGACCAGGGCTATGCAATGAACAGGCACTGGGTCTCAGGTCCCAACATGGTGTTTCAGCACGTTGTGGAGGCCATGTTCACCGGAGCCTTTGCCGGTGAGTACGACAGCTTCTTCTGGATGGAGATGGATGCCGTTCCTGTGAAGGCAAACTGGCTAGACAAGTTTGTGGAAGAGGCCGCAGAGATGCCTGCCATGAACATGGCCATCCGTGGCAGCCTCTACGAGGGAGCCAACTGGCAAATGTTCTCACATATGATGCCATCCTACTTGCTGAACCACATCAACGGCAATGCCATCTACAACCTGCAGCACCCGTGGACGAAGTTCCTGTTCGACACTTTCACTGCAGAGGGCAATGCCGACTTGATTGAGGAGATGGCCTTCGACACCGTGTACTCAGCCATCACGGCAGCTGCCATGGAGGGCTCCAACGTAATGCTTGCAGCAGCATGGGCAGCTAGCAACGGCTCGACCATGACCTACAGCTCTGACACTGAGCTGATCCGAAACTATGCCAACACCTTGCTGAACAGCAGCTACGACATCGGGGCGTACATTCGCCACGGATCGAGGCATAACATCTTGGAGAGTTTGGCGGGTGACATGGTCACGCTTGGTGTTCTTTCCATTGATGGTCAGAACGACCGCATGCTGAGCAGCCTGTCAACCAATCACCCCTTCAAGAAGGTCCTCATGCTGACGCACTACCCAGTGACGACGTCCACCCAGACCATCGAGGCGCCAGGCGGCGCTGTGACGCTGACCATCGAGGAGGCTGAAAGCAGCCCACTCATGCACATGTGCGAGGTGGCGGACAAGGTGACGACACCATGGTTTGCCTTGGCAACCAACCTGCACCACATCAATGCGCCGGTGAGTGTGCTCACGAGCATGGGCGAGCCAGTGATGCCGTATCTCCTGGCCACTTCCCCCTACTGCGCCAGTCGTCCTGACTGCAAAGCGGCCTTGGATCAGGCGGATGAGCTTTTTGGCATCTCGCTGAACTACCACCATGACTCGAACGAGGTGCTCTTTAGAACTTCCGATGCCACGAGCTTTTGTGCTGCCTGGATGACTGCCGCTGGCAACAAGACTGTCGAGACTTGCGAAATGGTCTTCGGGCCCACCGCAGACGACTTCGTGGCTTGGCAGATTGCCGTGGGCATGAACGTCACGGGTTTGCCGAAAGACAAGACACGCTATGGCTGGAGGCCTTGGACGACCCTGTGGGCTCCAATGCCTGTGGATGAAAGAAATTGCTCGACCACCGTCTATGGTGAAAAGGAGTACCTGGAGTCGCTCGCCTTCATCCCGAATTGCAGCGTCTATGTGGAGAATGCTTCCGCCTGCGATGCTGACACCATGTGTTATTGGAGGCCCATGTTCGAGACGGGCATTTGTGCCACGCAGTCGACGGGCACGAACATGATCGTGAACATCACTGTGCCTCCAACCACAACGACTGAAGAATATCTCCCAGAGATATCTAAGGCTTGTGGTACCATGGCCGTTATCGGTGCAGTTTTGGCTCTGTGCAGGGCTACTGTTGCCTGAGCATAGATAAGCCCATGTTTGACGCAAGAAATGCTGATGCCGAAGTGCAGAAGCGTAAGTCAATGTAGTGGCACAGACTTGCAGCCGTGAGAAGAAAGGGACTCTGTGGCTCGATCAGTGCAGCAAGCCACGCATGACCCCACACTCCAAATTCATGAGACGCCTGATCCCAAGCCTGAGGTGTGTCCATTCCATCCTCATGACGACGCTGGTGGACTACCAGAATTTGCCCTTGTCTCTGTGCCATAGGCCCGAGCCCTAGAGCTGTCAAGGTCCGAGGGCTAAAGCTGTAACGATAAGGATGACGTCGATGTCAAGATGATGGTGATGATGGCTTCCTGCACGAGGCGTGCTGTTATGGCCGCCGTCACCACCATCAGCCCCATCAGAATCCCCTTATTACAAAGCTGCCAGCTCCGCAAGCACCACCATCACCACTAGCGCCACCAGCACCACCAGCCACCAGCATGCACGAGCACAACCGCCATGATTTACCATCGCCATTACGGTTCTTCACACGATCAGCGAAGCCTGAGGCGTGGCGTTGCAGCTTTCGACACAAGTGCGTGTTCGGGTTTCCAAGATCCAAAGCTTCTTCTTCTTCTTCTTCCAGCCTGCTCAGTGTCGACCTAGTATTCGCAGTAGCAGTATCAGCAGTAGTGCTAGTAGAATAAAGGGGGCTGGGGAACACGACCAACCGGTGGCAGCAACAGCAGCAGCGGCAGCGGCAAGAGCAATGCCGACGGCGAGGTGTCGGCTGTAGCGAGGGCAGCAGCAACAAACACTTGCAGTGGCAAGCTTCAGGGGTGGCAATAGGAATTTCAGTGCAGACTCGGCACTAGGTTGGCAAATTGCACAAACCAGGGGGATTGCCGTGTGTGTGTGATTTCTGAATTTGGATTCGGTGGCTCAGCAGAAGTAAGCCGCCTCATGCCGGCTGGACCATGCTTGAGCCCAGGAAGGTTCTAGAGCGTGTCGTTCGGTGCTGGTAGGGCCCTGCAGCGTTTACAACAGGTAGGGTTGTCCCTATTGTGCAAATCCACCCCGGAATCGAATCGACCGGAATCCAGGCTGAATTCATCCTCGACTCGACCCGGGCTAATCTACCGGAAGCTTCCGCAGGGGGCTCCTGGCGGAGACTCTGCCGAATCCATGTGCCTTGCCTCGTGGATCCTGCTACAGATAGTGCTCCTTCCACGCGGAATCCGACTTTAGAAGGCTTGTGCTCGTCCTCCGTGGACCCCCCTTTGCTCCCCTGTCCCCGAGGTGCAGACTTCGCCGGCCTGAAGACGAACAACCTTGAGCTTCGACCGCTGCAAACACGCAGGGGCCTTATAAATAGTCAGAGTCTGATGTCTGTTCGGAGCCAATCCTGAGATGTTATGAGACCATGGTGAACGCACAGCGGAAACAGCGCGGCTCGGATCTTCGACCATGGGGTAGGGCTCGTTTCTGTGATGGGCCCGTCTTGGCTCAAATGCGCGCTCGGTCCCGGTCTTTGTCCGACTAGTTGTTCGCTTTCCTGCACCTTGGCTCTTTTCCATCGAAGCGGACGGCAGGATGTTCTTCCTCGCAGTGGCCGCTTTCAGCTTGCTTCCCTGGTCGGTAGCAGGGAAGATGGCCGTCGTGCGAACCTTCGCGACCAGTCAGGAGGTCGCTGTGCATGGGTTGGCTTGGGCTTATGCCTCGAACTTCGCTTCGTTTGTTTTTGACTTTCTGTTCTGCTTTGGGCTTTGTTGTCTAAGTCTGCGCCACGGGGTCCTCATAGTTTTCAGGCTTCGGGGATTACTTTTTCTCGAGCCCTCCAGAGTTTCAGAGTCCTTGAGATCAAGCACTAGCTGTGTAAGCAGTTCCGGATGCGCCGAATTCAGGTCGCGGATCTGATGCAGTCCTACACGGAGTGGGAGTCGACCATGCCGTGCGCAAGTCCTGGCCAGAGCAGCACGGTAGACCTGATCTTGGTTTACAGCAAGGATCTCGCCACGGACTCCACGGCCACGGCCGCAGTCCAATCCTATGAGTCAGGCTTCGCGCAGAATGAGCACTGGACCGGCTGCTTCGGAGGCATCAAAAACTTTTCCGCCAAGCTTGCCCCAGAGGAAGACCACTACGACGACCAGGGCTATGCAATGAACAGGCACTGGGTCTCAGGTCCCAACATGGTGTTTCAGCACGTTGTGGAGGCCATGTTCTCCGGAGCCTTTGCCGGTGAGTACGACAGCTTCTTCTGGATGGAGATGGATGCCGTTCCTGTGAAGGCAAACTGGCTAGACAAGTTTGTGGAAGAGGCCGCAGAGATGCCTGCCATGAACATGGCCATCCGTGGCAGCCTCTACGAGGGAGCCAACTGGCAAATGTTCTCACATATGATGCCATCCTACTTGCTGAACCACATCAACGGCAATGCCATCTACAACCTGCAGCACCCGTGGACGAAGTTCCTGTTCGACACTTTCACTGCAGAGGGCAATTCCGACTTGATTGAGGAGATGGCCTTCGACACCGTGTACTCAGCCATCACGGCAGCTGCCATGGAGGGCTCCAACGTAATGCTTGCAGCAGCATGGGCAGCTAGCAACGGCTCGACCATGACCTACAGCTCTGACACTGAGCTGATCCGAAACTATGCCAACACCTTGCTGAACAGCAGCTACGACATCGGGGCGTACATTCGCCACGGATCGAGGCATAACATCTTGGAGAGTTTGGCGGGTGACATGGTCACGCTTGGTGTTCTTTCCATTGATGGTCAGAACGACCGCATGCTGAGCAGCCTGTCAACCAATCACCCCTTCAAGAAGGTCCTCATGCTGACGCACTACCCAGTGACGACGTCCACCCAGACCATCGAGGCGCCAGGCGGCGCTGTGACGCTGACCATCGAGGAGGCTGAAAGCAGCCCACTCATGCACATGTGCGAGGTGGCGGACAAGGTGACGACACCATGGTTTGCCTTGGCAACCAACCTGCACCACATCAATGCGCCGGTGAGTGTGCTCACGAGCATGGGGGAGCCAGTGATGCCGTATCTCCTGGCCACTTCCCCCTACTGCGCCAGTCGTCCTGACTGCAAAGCGGCCTTGGATCAGGCGGATGAGCTTTTTGGCATCTCGCTGAACTACCACCATGACTCGAACGAGGTGCTCTTTAGAACTTCCGATGCCACGAGCTTTTGTGCTGCCTGGATGACTGCCGCTGGCAACAAGACTGTCGAGACTTGCGAAATGGTCTTCGGGCCCACCGCAGACGACTTCGTGGCTTGGCAGATTGCCGTGGGCATGAACGTCACGGGTTTGCCGAAAGACAAGACACGCTATGGCTGGAGGCCTTGGACGACCCTGTGGGCTCCAATGCCTGTGGATGAAAGAAATTGCTCGACCACCGTCTATGGTGAAAAGGAGTACCTGGAGTCGCTCGCCTTCATCCCGAATTGCAGCGTCTATGTGGAGAATGCTTCCGCCTGCGATGCTGACACCATGTGTTATTGGAGGCCCATGTTCGAGACGGGCATTTGTGCCACGCAGTCGACGGGCACGAACATGATCGTGAACATCACTGTGCCTCCAACCACAACGACTGAAGAATATCTCCCAGAGATATCTAAGGCTTGTGGTACTATGGCCGTTATCGGTGCAGTTTTGGCTCTGTGCAGGGCTACTATTGCCTGAGCATAGATAAGCCCATGTTTGACGGAAGAAATGCTGATGCCGAAGTGCAGAAGCGTAAGTCAATGTAGTGGCACAGACTTGCAGCCGTGAGAAGAAAGGGACTCTGTGGCTCGATCAGTGCAGCAAGCCACGCATGACCCCACACTCCAAATTCATGAGACGCCTGATCCCAAGCCTGAGGTGTGTCCATTCCATCCTCATGACGACACTGGTGGACTACCAGAATTTGCCCCTGTCTCTGTGCCAAAGGCCCGAGCCCTAGAGCTGTCAAGGTCCGAGGGCTAAAGCTGTAACGATAAGGATGACGTCGATGTCAAGATGATGGTGATGATGGCTTCCTGCACGAGGCGTGCTGTTATGGCCGCCGTCACCACCATCAGCCCCATCAGAATCCCCTTATTACAAAGCTGCCAGCTCCGCAAGCACCACCATCACCACTAGCGCCACCAGCACCACCAGCCACCAGCATGCACGAGCACAACCGCCATGATTTACCATCGCCATTACGGTTCTTCACACGATCAGCGAAGCCTGAGGCGTGGCGTTGCAGCTTTCGACACAAGTGCGTGTTCGGGTTTCCAAGATCCAAAGCTTCTTCTTCTTCTTCTTCCAGCCTGCTCAGTGTCGACCTAGTATTCGCAGTAGCAGTATCAGCAGTAGTGCTAGTAGAATAAAGGGGGCTGGGGAACACGACCAACCGGTGGCAGCAACAGCAGCAGCGGCAGCGGCAAGAGCAATGCCGACGGCGAGGTGTCGGCTGTAGCGAGGGCAGCAGCAACAAACACTTGCAGTGGCAAGCTTCAGGGGTGGCAATAGGAATTTCAGTGCAGACTCGGCACTAGGTTGGCAAATTGCACAAACCAGGGGGATTGCCGTGTGTGTGTGATTTCTGATTCGGTGGCTCAGCAGAAGTAAGCCGCCTCATGCCGGCTGGACCATGCTTGAGCCCAGGAAGGTTCTAGAGCGTGTCGTTCGGTGCTGGTAGGGCCCTGCAGCGTTTACAACAGGTAGGGTTGTCCCCTATTGTGCAAATCCACAGCCCGGAATCGACTCGCCCGGAATCCCGCTGAATTCATCCTCGACTCGACCCGGGCTAATCTACCTGAGAAGCTTCCGCAGGGCTTCCTGTCTGAGACTCTGCCTGAATCCATGTGCCTTGCCTCGTGTATTCCTGCTACAGCTAGTGCTCCTTCCACGCGGGGGGGGGGGGTGGGGGAAAACAAAAAATCGACTTTAGAAGGCTTGTGCTCGTCCCTCAGTGGACCCCCCTTTGCTCGCCCTGTCCCCGAGTGCAATAACTTTCGCCGTCCAATAACCGAACCACCTTAGCTTCGAAAAGACCGCTTACACACGCGGGTCCTTATACATAGTCCATAGTCTGTTCTGTTCGAGCCAATCCTGAGGATGTTATGTAGACCATGGTGAACGCACAGCGGAAACAGCGCGGCTCGGATCTTCGACCATGGGGTAGGGCTCGTTTCTGTGATGGGCCCGTCTTGGCTCAAATGCGCGCTCGGTCCCGGTCTTTGTCCGACTAGTTGTTCGCTTTCCTGCACCTTGGCTCTTTTCCATCGAAGCGGACGGCAGGATGTTCTTCCTCGCAGTGGCCGCTTTCAGCTTGCTTCCCTGGTCGGTAGCAGGGAAGATGGCCGTCGTGCGAACCTTCGCGACCAGTCAGGAGGTCGCTGTGCATGGGTTGGCTTGGGCTTATGCCTCGAACTTCGCTTCGTTTGTTTTTGACTTTCTGTTCTGCTTTGGGCTTTGTTGTCTAAGTCTGCGCCACGGGGTCCTCATAGTTTTCAGGCTTCGGGGATTACTTTCTCTCGAGCCCTCCAGAGTTTCAGAGTCCTTGAGATCAAGCACTAGCTGTGTAAGCAGTTCCGGATGCGCCGAATTCAGGTCGCGGATCTGATGCAGTCCTACACGGAGTGGGAGTCGACCATGCCGTGCGCAAGTCCTGGCCAGAGCAGCACGGTAGACCTGATCTTGGTTTACAGCAAGGATCTCGCCACGGACTCCACGGCCACGGCCGCAGTCCAATCCTATGAGTCAGGCTTCGCGCAGAATGAGCACTGGACCGGCTGCTTCGGAGGCATCAAAAACTTTTCCGCCAAGCTTGCCCCAGAGGAAGACCACTACGACGACCAGGGCTATGCAATGAACAGGCACTGGGTCTCAGGTCCCAACATGGTGTTTCAGCACGTTGTGGAGGCCATGTTCACCGGAGCCTTTGCCGGTGAGTACGACAGCTTTTTCTGGATGGAGATGGATGCCGTTCCTGTGAGGGCAAACTGGCTAGACAAGTTTGTGGAAGAGGCCGCAGAGATGCCTGCCATGAACATGGCCATCCGTGGCAGCCTCTACGAGGGAGCCAACTGGCAAATGTTCTCACATATGATGCCATCCTACTTGCTGAACCACATCAACGGCAATGCCATCTACAACCTGCAGCACCCGTGGACGAAGTTCCTGTTCGACACTTTCACTGCAGAGGGCAATGCCGACTTGATTGAGGAGATGGCCTTCGACACCGTGTACTCAGCCATCACGGCAGTTGCCATGGAGGGCTCCAACGTAATGCTTGCAGCAGCATGGGCAGCTAGCAACGGCTCGACCATGACCTACAGCTCTGACACTGAGCTGATCCGAAACTATGCCAACACCTTGCTGAACAGCAGCTACGACATCGGGGCGTACATTCGCCACGGATCGAGGCATAACATCTTGGAGAGTTTGGCGGGTGACATGGTCACGCTTGGTGTTCTTTCCATTGATGGTCAGAACGACCGCATGCTGAGCAGCCTGTCAACCAATCACCCCTTCAAGAAGGTCCTCATGCTGACGCACTACCCAGTGACGACGTCCACCCAGACCATCGAGGCGCCAGGCGGCGCTGTGACGCTGACCATCGAGGAGGCTGAAAGCAGCCCACTCATGCACATGTGCGAGGTGGCGGACAAGGTGACGACACCATGGTTTGCCTTGGCAACCAACCTGCACCACATCAATGCGCCGGTGAGTGTGCTCACGAGCATGGGGGAGCCAGTGATGCCGTATCTCCTGGCCACTTCCCCCTACTGCGCCAGTCGTCCTGACTGCAAAGCGGCCTTGGATCAGGCGGATGAGCTTTTTGGCATCTCGCTGAACTACCACCATGACTCGAACGAGGTGCTCTTTAGAACTTCCGATGCCACGAGCTTTTGTGCTGCCTGGATGACTGCCGCTGGCAACAAGACTGTCGAGACTTGCGAAATGGTCTTCGGGCCCACCGCAGACGACTTCGTGGCTTGGCAGATTGCCGTGGGCATGAACGTCACGGGTTTGCCTAAAGACAAGACACGCTATGGCTGGAGGCCTTGGACGACCCTGTGGGCTCCAATGCCTGTGGATGAAAGAAATTGCTCGACCACCGTCTATGGTGAAAAGGAGTACCTGGAGTCGCTCGCCTTCATCTCGAATTGCAGCGTCTATGCGGAGAATGCTTCCGCCTGCGATGCTGCCCATGTTCGAGACGGGCATTTGTGCCACGCAGTCGACGGGCACGAACATGATCGTGAACATCACTGTGCCTCCAACCACAACGACTGAAGAATATCTCCCAGAGATATCTAAGGCTTGTGGTACCATGGCCGTTATCGGTGCAGTTTTGGCTCTGTGCAGGGCTACTGTTGCCTGAGCATAGATAAGCCCATGTTTGACGCAAGAAATGCTGATGCCGAAGTGCAGAAGCGTAAGTCAATGTAGTGGCACAGACTTGCAGCCGTGAGAAGAAAGGGACTCTGTGGCTCGATCAGTGCAGCAAGCCACGCATGACCCCACACTCCAAATTCATGAGACGCCTGATCCCAAGCCTGAGGTGTGTCCATTCCATCCTCATGACGACGCTGGTGGACTACCAGAATTTGCCCTTGTCTCTGTGCCATAGGCCCGAGCCCTAGAGCTGTCAAGGTCCGAGGGCTAAAGCTGTAACGATAAGGATGACGTCGATGTCAAGATGATGGTGATGATGGCTTCCTGCACGAGGCGTGCTGTTATGGCCGCCGTCACCACCATCAGCCCCATCAGAATCCCCTTATTACAAAGCTGCCAGCTCCGCAAGCACCACTAGCGCCACCAGCACCACCAGCCACCAGCATGCACGAGCACAACCGCCATGATTTACCATCGCCATTACGGTTCTTCACACGATCAGCGAAGCCTGAGGCGTGGCGTTGCAGCTTTCGACACAAGTGCGTGTTCGGGTTTCCAAGATCCAAAGCTTCTTCTTCTTCTTCTTCCAGCCTGCTCAGTGTCGACCTAGTATTCGCAGTAGCAGTATCAGCAGTAGTGCTAGTAGAATAAAGGGGGCTGGGGAACACGACCAACCGGTGGCAGCAACAGCAGCAGCGGCAGCGGCAAGAGCAATGCCGACGGCGAGGTGTCGGCTGTAGCGAGGGCAGCAGCAACAAACACTTGCAGTGGCAAGCTTCAGGGGTGGCAATAGGAATTTCAGTGCAGACTCGGCACTAGGTTGGCAAATTGCACAAACCAGGGGGATTGCCGTGTGTGTGTGATTTCTGAATTTGGATTCGGTGGCTCAGCAGAAGTAAGCCGCCTCATGCCGGCTGGACCATGCTTGAGCCCAGGAAGGTTCTAGAGCGTGTCGTTCGGTGCTGGTAGGGCCCTGCAGCGTTTACAACAGGTAGGGTTGTCCCTATTGTGCAAATCCACCCCGGAATCGAATCGACCGGAATCCAGGCTGAATTCATCCTCGACTCGACCCGGGCTAATCTACCGGAAGCTTCCGCAGGGGGCTCCTGGCGGAGACTCTGCCGAATCCATGTGCCTTGCCTCGTGGATCCTGCTACAGATAGTGCTCCTTCCACGCGGAATCCGACTTTAGAAGGCTTGTGCTCGTCCTCAGTGGACCCCCCTTTGCTCCCCTGTCCCCGAGGTGCAGACTTCGCCGGCCTGAAGACGAACAACCTTGAGCTTCGACCGCTGCAAACACGCAGGGGCCTTATAAATAGTCAGAGTCTGATGTCTGTTCGGAGCCAATCCTGAGATGTTATGAGACCATGGTGAACGCACAGCGGAAACAGCGCGGCTCGGATCTTCGACCATGGGGTAGGGCTCGTTTCTGTGATGGGCCCGTCTTGGCTCAAATGCGCGCTCGGTCCCGGTCTTTGTCCGACTAGTTGTTCGCTTTCCTGCACCTTGGCTCTTTTCCATCGAAGCGGACGGCAGGATGTTCTTCCTCGCAGTGGCCGCTTTCAGCTTGCTTCCCTGGTCGGTAGCAGGGAAGATGGCCGTCGTGCGAACCTTCGCGACCAGTCAGGAGGTCGCTGTGCATGGGTTGGCTTGGGCTTATGCCTCGAACTTCGCTTCGTTTGTTTTTGACTTTCTGTTCTGCTTTGGGCTTTGTTGTCTAAGTCTGCGCCACGGGGTCCTCATAGTTTTCAGGCTTCGGGGATTACTTTTTCTCGAGCCCTCCAGAGTTTCAGAGTCCTTGAGATCAAGCACTAGCTGTGTAAGCAGTTCCGGATGCGCCGAATTCAGGTCGCGGATCTGATGCAGTCCTACACGGAGTGGGAGTCGACCATGCCGTGCGCAAGTCCTGGCCAGAGCAGCACGGTAGACCTGATCTTGGTTTACAGCAAGGATCTCGCCACGGACTCCACGGCCACGGCCGCAGTCCAATCCTATGAGTCAGGCTTCGCGCAGAATGAGCACTGGACCGGCTGTTTCGGAGGCATCAAAACTTTTCCGCCAAGCTTGCCCCAGAGGAAGACCACTAGGACGACCAGGGCTATGCAATGAACAGGCACTGGGTCTCAGGTCCCAACATGGTGTTTCAGCACGTTGTGGAGGCCATGTTCACCGGAGCCTTTGCCGGTGAGTACGACAGCTTCTTCTGGATGGAGATGGATGCCGTTCCTGTGAAGGCAAACTGGCTAGACAAGTTTGTGGAAGAGGCCGCAGAGATGCCTGCCATGAACATGGCCATCCGTGGCAGCCTCTACGAGGGAGCCAACTGGCAAATGTTCTCACATATGATGCCATCCTACTTGCTGAACCACATCAACGGCAATGCCATCTACAACCTGCAGCACCCGTGGACGAAGTTCCTGTTCGACACTTTCACTGCAGAGGGCAATGCCGACTTGATTGAGGAGATGGCCTTCGACACCGTGTACTCAGCCATCACGGCAGTTGCCATGGAGGGCTCCAACGTAATGCTTGCAGCAGCATGGGCAGCTAGCAACGGCTCGACCATGACCTACAGCTCTGACACTGAGCTGATCCGAAACTATGCCAACACCTTGCTGAACAGCAGCTACGACATCGGGGCGTACATTCGCCACGGATCGAGGCATAACATCTTGGAGAGTTTGGCGGGTGACATGGTCACGCTTGGTGTTCTTTCCATTGATGGTCAGAACGACCGCATGCTGAGCAGCCTGTCAACCAATCACCCCTTCAAGAAGGTCCTCATGCTGACGCACTACCCAGTGACGACGTCCACCCAGACCATCGAGGCGCCAGGCGGCGCTGTGACGCTGACCATCGAGGAGGCTGAAAGCAGCCCACTCATGCACATGTGCGAGGTGGCGGACAAGGTGACGACACCATGGTTTGCCTTGGCAACCAACCTGCACCACATCAATGCGCCGGTGAGTGTGCTCACGAGCATGGGGGAGCCAGTGATGCCGTATCTCCTGGCCACTTCCCCCTACTGCGCCAGTCGTCCTGACTGCAAAGCGGCCTTGGATCAGGCGGATGAGCTTTTTGGCATCTCGCTGAACTACCACCATGACTCGAACGAGGTGCTCTTTAGAACTTCCGATGCCACGAGCTTTTGTGCTGCCTGGATGACTGCCGCTGGCAACAAGACTGTCGAGACTTGCGAAATGGTCTTCGGGCCCACCGCAGACGACTTCGTGGCTTGGCAGATTGCCGTGGGCATGAACGTCACGGGTTTGCCGAAAGACAAGACACGCTATGGCTGGAGGCCTTGGACGACCCTGTGGGCTCCAATGCCTGTGGATGAAAGAAATTGCTCGACCACCGTCTATGGTGAAAAGGAGTACCTGGAGTCGCTCGCCTTCATCCCGAATTGCAGCGTCTATGTGGAGAATGCTTCCGCCTGCGATGCTGACACCATGTGTTATTGGAGGCCCATGTTCGAGACGGGCATTTGTGCCACGCAGTCGACGGGCACGAACATGATCGTGAACATCACTGTGCCTCCAACCACAACGACTGAAGAATATCTCCCAGAGATATCTAAGGCTTGTGGTACCATGGCCGTTATCGGTGCAGTTTTGGCTCTGTGCAGGGCTACTGTTGCCTGAGCATAGATAAGCCCATGTTTGACGCAAGAAATGCTGATGCCGAAGTGCAGAAGCGTAAGTCAATGTAGTGGCACAGACTTGCAGCCGTGAGAAGAAAGGGACTCTGTGGCTCGATCAGTGCAGCAAGCCACGCATGACCCCACACTCCAAATTCATGAGACGCCTGATCCCAAGCCTGAGGTGTGTCCATTCCATCCTCATGACGACGCTGGTGGACTACCAGAATTTGCCCTTGTCTCTGTGCCATAGGCCCGAGCCCTAGAGCTGTCAAGGTCCGAGGGCTAAAGCTGTAACGATAAGGATGACGTCGATGTCAAGATGATGGTGATGATGGCTTCCTGCACGAGGCGTGCTGTTATGGCCGCCGTCACCACCATCAGCCCCATCAGAATCCCCTTATTACAAAGCTGCCAGCTCCGCAAGCACCACCATCACCACTAGCGCCACCAGCACCACCAGCCACCAGCATGCACGAGCACAACCGCCATGATTTACCATCGCCATTACGGTTCTTCACACGATCAGCGAAGCCTGAGGCGTGGCGTTGCAGCTTTCGACACAAGTGCGTGTTCGGGTTTCCAAGATCCAAAGCTTCTTCTTCTTCTTCTTCCAGCCTGCTCAGTGTCGACCTAGTATTCGCAGTAGCAGTATCAGCAGTAGTGCTAGTAGAATAAAGGGGGCTGGGGAACACGACCAACCGGTGGCAGCAACAGCAGCAGCGGCAGCGGCAAGAGCAATGCCGACGGCGAGGTGTCGGCTGTAGCGAGGGCAGCAGCAACAAACACTTGCAGTGGCAAGCTTCAGGGGTGGCAATAGGAATTTCAGTGCAGACTCGGCACTAGGTTGGCAAATTGCACAAACCAGGGGGATTGCCGTGTGTGTGTGATTTCTGAATTTGGATTCGGTGGCTCAGCAGAAGTAAGCCGCCTCATGCCGGCTGGACCATGCTTGAGCCCAGGAAGGTTCTAGAGCGTGTCGTTCGGTGCTGGTAGGGCCCTGCAGCGTTTACAACAGGTAGGGTTGTCCCTATTGTGCAAATCCACCCCGGAATCGAATCGACCGGAATCCAGGCTGAATTCATCCTCGACTCGACCCGGGCTAATCTACCGGAAGCTTCCGCAGGGGGCTCCTGGCGGAGACTCTGCCGAATCCATGTGCCTTGCCTCGTGGATCCTGCTACAGATAGTGCTCCTTCCACGCGGAATCCGACTTTAGAAGGCTTGTGCTCGTCCTCAGTGGACCCCCCTTTGCTCCCCTGTCCCCGAGGTGCAGACTTCGCCGGCCTGAAGACGAACAACCTTGAGCTTCGACCGCTGCAAACACGCAGGGGCCTTATAAATAGTCAGAGTCTGATGTCTGTTCGGAGCCAATCCTGAGATGTTATGAGACCATGGTGAACGCACAGCGGAAACAGCGCGGCTCGGATCTTCGACCATGGGGTAGGGCTCGTTTCTGTGATGGGCCCGTCTTGGCTCAAATGCGCGCTCGGTCCCGGTCTTTGTCCGACTAGTTGTTCGCTTTCCTGCACCTTGGCTCTTTTTCATCGAAGCGGACGGCAGGATGTTCTTCCTCGCAGTGGCCGCTTTCAGCTTGCTTCCCTGGTCGGTAGCAGGGAAGATGGCCGTCGTGCGAACCTTCGCGACCAGTCAGGAGGTCGCTGTGCATGGGTTGGCTTGGGCTTATGCCTCGAACTTCGCTTCGTTTGTTTTTGACTTTCTGTTCTGCTTTGGGCTTTGTTGTCTAAGTCTGCGCCACGGGGTCCTCATAGTTTTCAGGCTTCGGGGATTACTTTTTCTCGAGCCCTCCAGAGTTTCAGAGTCCTTGAGATCAAGCACTAGCTGTGTAAGCAGTTCCGGATGCGCCGAATTCAGGTCGCGGATCTGATGCAGTCCTACACGGAGTGGGAGTCGACCATGCCGTGCGCAAGTCCTGGCCAGAGCAGCACGGTAGACCTGATCTTGGTTTACAGCAAGGATCTCGCCACGGACTCCACGGCCACGGCCGCAGTCCAATCCTATGAGTCAGGCTTCGCGCAGAATGAGCACTGGACCGGCTGCTTCGGAGGCATCAAAAACTTTTCCGCCAAGCTTGCCCCAGAGGAAGACCACTACGACGACCAGGGCTATGCAATGAACAGGCACTGGGTCTCAGGTCCCAACATGGTGTTTCAGCACGTTGTGGAGGCCATGTTCACCGGAGCCTTTGCCGGTGAGTACGACAGCTTCTTCTGGATGGAGATGGATGCCGTTCCTGTGAAGGCAAACTGGCTAGACAAGTTTGTGGAAGAGGCCGCAGAGATGCCTGCCATGAACATGGCCATCCGTGGCAGCCTCTACGAGGGAGCCAACTGGCAAATGTTCTCACATATGATGCCATCCTACTTGCTGAACCACATCAACGGCAATGCCATCTACAACCTGCAGCACCCGTGGACGAAGTTCCTGTTCGACACTTTCACTGCAGAGGGCAATTCCGACTTGATTGAGGAGATGGCCTTCGACACCGTGTACTCAGCCATCACGGCAGCTGCCATGGAGGGCTCCAACGTAATGCTTGCAGCAGCATGGGCAGCTAGCAACGGCTCGACCATGACCTACAGCTCTGACACTGAGCTGATCCGAAACTATGCCAACACCTTGCTGAACAGCAGCTACGACATCGGGGCGTACATTCGCCACGGATCGAGGCATAACATCTTGGAGAGTTTGGCGGGTGACATGGTCACGCTTGGTGTTCTTTCCATTGATGGTCAGAACGACCGCATGCTGAGCAGCCTGTCAACCAATCACCCCTTCAAGAAGGTCCTCATGCTGACGCACTACCCAGTGACGACGTCCACCCAGACCATCGAGGCGCCAGGCGGCGCTGTGACGCTGACCATCGAGGAGGCTGAAAGCAGCCCACTCATGCACATGTGCGAGGTGGCGGACAAGGTGACGACACCATGGTTTGCCTTGGCAACCAACCTGCACCACATCAATGCGCCGGTGAGTGTGCTCACGAGCATGGGCGAGCCAGTGATGCCGTATCTCCTGGCCACTTCCCCCTACTGCGCCAGTCGTCCTGACTGCAAAGCGGCCTTGGATCAGGCGGATGAGCTTTTTGGCATCTCGCTGAACTACCACCATGACTCGAACGAGGTGCTCTTTAGAACTTCCGATGCCACGAGCTTTTGTGCTGCCTGGATGACTGCCGCTGGCAACAAGACTGTCGAGACTTGCGAAATGGTCTTCGGGCCCACCGCAGACGACTTCGTGGCTTGGCAGATTGCCGTGGGCATGAACGTCACGGGTTTGCCGAAAGACAAGACACGCTATGGCTGGAGGCCTTGGACGACCCTGTGGGCTCCAATGCCTGTGGATGAAAGAAATTGCTCGACCACCGTCTATGGTGAAAAGGAGTACCTGGAGTCGCTCGCCTTCATCCCGAATTGCAGCGTCTATGTGGAGAATGCTTCCGCCTGCGATGCTGACACCATGTGTTATTGGAGGCCCATGTTCGAGACGGGCATTTGTGCCACGCAGTCGACGGGCACGAACATGATCGTGAACATCACTGTGCCTCCAACCACAACGACTGAAGAATATCTCCCAGAGATATCTAAGGCTTGTGGTACTATGGCCGTTATCGGTGCAGTTTTGGCTCTGTGCAGGGCTACTATTGCCTGAGCATAGATGAGCCCATGTTTGACGGAAGAAATGCTGATGCCGAAGTGCAGAAGCGTAAGTCAATGTAGTGGCACAGACTTGCAGCCGTGAGAAGAAAGGGACTCTGTGGCTCGATCAGTGCAGCAAGCCACGCATGACCCCACACTCCAAGTTCATGAGACGCCTGATCCCAAGCCTGAGGTGTGTCCATTCCATCCTCATGACGACACTGGTGGACTACCAGAATTTGCCCCTGTCTTTGTGCCATAGGCCCGAGCCCTAGAGCTGTCAAGGTCCGAGGGCTAAAGCTGTAACGATAAGGATGACGTCGATGTCAAGATGAGGGTGATGATGGCTTCCTGCACGAGGCGTGCTGTTATGGCCGCCGTCACCACCATCAGCCCCATCAGAATCCCCTTATTAAAAAGCTGCCAGCTCACGCAAGCACCACCATCACCACTAGCGCCACCAGCACCACCAGCCACCAGCATGCACGGGCACAACCGTCATGATTTACCATCGCCATTACGGTTCTTCACACGATCAGCGAAGCCTGAGTGCGTGTTCGGGTTTCCAAGGTCCAAAGCTTCTTCTTCTTCAGCCTGTTCAGTGTCGACCTAGTATTCGCAGTAGCAGTATCAGCAGTAGTGCTAGTAGAGTAGAGGGGGCTGGGGAACACGACCAACCGGTGGCAGCAACAGCAGCAGCAGTAGCGGCAAGAGCAATGCCGACGGCGAGGTGTCGGCTGTAGCAAAGGTAGCAGCAACAAACACTTGCAGTGCCTCATGCCGGCTGGACCATGCTTGAGCCCAGGAAGGTTCTAGAGCGTGTCGTTCGGTGCTGGTAGGGCCTTGCAGCGTTTACAACAGGTAGGGTTGTCCCTATTGTGCCAATCCACCCCGGAGTCGAATCGACCGGAATCCAGGCTGAATTCATCCTCGACTCGACCTGGGCTAATCTACCGGAAGCTTCCGCAGGGGGCTCCTGGCGGAGACTCTGCCGAATCCATGTGCCTTGCCTCGTGGATCCTGCTACAGATAGTGCTCCTTCCACGCGGAATCCGACTTTAGAAGGCTTGTGCTCGTCCTCAGTGGACCCCCCTTTGCTCCCCTGTCCCCGAGGTGCAGACTTCGCCGGCCTGAAGACGAACAACCTTGAGCTTCGACCGCTGCAAGCACGCAGGGGCCTTATAAATAGTCAGAGTCTGATGTCTGTTCGGAGCCTATCCTGAGATGTTATGAGACCATGGTGAACGCACAGCGGAAACAGCGCGGCTCGGATCTTCGACCATGGGGTAGGGCTCGTTTCTGTGATGGGCCCGTCTTGGCTCAAATGCGCGCTCGGTCCCGGTCTTTGTCCGACTAGTTGTTCGCTTTCCTGCACCTTGGCTCTTTTCCATCGAAGCGGACGGCAGGATGTTCTTCCTCGCAGTGGCCGCTTTCAGCTTGCTTCCCTGGTCGGTAGCAGGGAAGATGGCCGTCGTGCGAACCTTCGCGACCAGTCAGGAGGTCGCTGTGCATGGGTTGGCTTGGGCTTATGCCTCGAACTTCGCTTCGTTTGTTTTTGACTTTCTGTTCTGCTTTGGGCTTTGTTGTCTAAGTCTGCGCCACGGGGTCCTCATAGTTTTCAGGCTTCGGGGATTACTTTTTCTCGAGCCCTCCAGAGTTTCAGAGTCCTTGAGATCAAGCACTAGCTGTGTAAGCAGTTCCGGATGCGCCGAATTCAGGTCGCGGATCTGATGCAGTCCTACACGGAGTGGGAGTCGACCATGCCGTGCGCAAGTCCTGGCCAGAGCAGCACGGTAGACCTGATCTTGGTTTACAGCAAGGATCTCGCCACGGACTCCACGGCCACGGCCGCAGTCCAATCCTATGAGTCAGGCTTCGCGCAGAATGAGCACTGGACCGGCTGCTTCGGAGGCATCAAAAACTTTTCCGCCAAGCTTGCCCCAGAGGAAGACCACTACGACGACCAGGGCTATGCAATGAACAGGCACTGGGTCTCAGGTCCCAACATGGTGTTTCAGCACGTTGTGGAGGCCATGTTCACCGGAGCCTTTGCCGGTGAGTACGACAGCTTCTTCTGGATGGAGATGGATGCCGTTCCTGTGAAGGCAAACTGGCTAGACAAGTTTGTGGAAGAGGCCGCAGAGATGCCTGCCATGAACATGGCCATCCGTGGCAGCCTCTACGAGGGAGCCAACTGGCAAATGTTCTCACATATGATGCCATCCTACTTGCTGAACCACATCAACGGCAATGCCATCTACAACCTGCAGCACCCGTGGACGAAGTTCCTGTTCGACACTTTCACTGCAGAGGGCAATTCCGACTTGATTGAGGAGATGGCCTTCGACACCGTGTACTCAGCCATCACGGCAGCTGCCATGGAGGGCTCCAACGTAATGCTTGCAGCAGCATGGGCAGCTAGCAACGGCTCGACCATGACCTACAGCTCTGACACTGAGCTGATCCGAAACTATGCCAACACCTTGCTGAACAGCAGCTACGACATCGGGGCGTACATTCGCCACGGATCGAGGCATAACATCTTGGAGAGTTTGGCGGGTGACATGGTCACGCTTGGTGTTCTTTCCATTGATGGTCAGAACGACCGCATGCTGAGCAGCCTGTCAACCAATCACCCCTTCAAGAAGGTCCTCATGCTGACGCACTACCCAGTGACGACGTCCACCCAGACCATCGAGGCGCCAGGCGGCGCTGTGACGCTGACCATCGAGGAGGCTGAAAGCAGCCCACTCATGCACATGTGCGAGGTGGCGGACAAGGTGACGACACCATGGTTTGCCTTGGCAACCAACCTGCACCACATCAATGCGCCGGTGAGTGTGCTCACGAGCATGGGCGAGCCAGTGATGCCGTAGTATCTCCTGGCCACTTCCCCCTACTGCGCCAGTCGTCCTGACTGCAAAGCGGCCTTGGATCAGGCGGATGAGCTTTTTGGCATCTCGCTGAACTACCACCATGACTCGAACGAGGTGCTCTTTAGAACTTCCGATGCCACGAGCTTTTGTGCTGCCTGGATGACTGCCGCTGGCAACAAGACTGTCGAGACTTGCGAAATGGTCTTCGGGCCCACCGCAGACGACTTCGTGGCTTGGCAGATTGCCGTGGGCATGAACGTCACGGGTTTGCCGAAAGACAAGACACGCTATGGCTGGAGGCCTTGGACGACCCTGTGGGCTCCAATGCCTGTGGATGAAAGAAATTGCTCGACCACCGTCTATGGTGAAAAGGAGTACCTGGAGTCGCTCGCCTTCATCCCGAATTGCAGCGTCTATGTGGAGAATGCTTCCGCCTGCGATGCTGACACCATGTGTTATTGGAGGCCCATGTTCGAGACGGGCATTTGTGCCACGCAGTCGACGGGCACGAACATGATCGTGAACATCACTGTGCCTCCAACCACAACGACTGAAGAATATCTCCCAGAGATATCTAAGGCTTGTGGTACTATGGCCGTTATCGGTGCAGTTTTGGCTCTGTGCAGGGCTACTATTGCCTGAGCATAGATGAGCCCATGTTTGACGGAAGAAATGCTGATGCCGAAGTGCAGAAGCGTAAGTCAATGTAGTGGCACAGACTTGCAGCCGTGAGAAGAAAGGGACTCTGTGGCTCGATCAGTGCAGCAAGCCACGCATGACCCCACACTCCAAGTTCATGAGACGCCTGATCCCAAGCCGGAGGTGTGTCCATTCCATCCTCATGACGACACTGGTGGACTACCAGAATTTGCCCCTGTCTTTGTGCCATAGGCCCGAGCCCTAGAGCTGTCAAGGTCCGAGGGCTAAAGCTGTAACGATAAGGATGACGTCGATGTCAAGATGAGGGTGATGATGGCTTCCTGCACGAGGCGTGCTGTTATGGCCGCCGTCACCACCATCAGCCCCATCAGAATCCCCTTATTAAAAAGCTGCCAGCTCACGCAAGCACCACCATCACCACTAGCGCCACCAGCACCACCAGCCACCAGCATGCGCGGGCACAACCGTCATGATTTACCATCGCCATTACGGTTCTTCACACGATCAGCGAAGCCTGAGTGCGTGTTCGGGTTTCCAAGGTCCAAAGCTTCTTCTTCCAGCCTGTTCAGTGTCGACCTAGTATTCGCAGTAGCAGTATCAGCAGTAGTGCTAGTAGAGTAGAGGGGGCTGGGGAACACGACCAACCGGTGGCAGCAACAGCAGCAACAGCAGCAACAGCAGCAGCAGCAGCGGCAGCAGCGGCAAGAGCAATGCCGACGGCGAGGTGTCGGCTGTAGCAAGGGCAGCAGCAACAAACACTTGCAGTGCCTCATGCCGGCTGGACCATGCTTGAGCCCAGGAAGGTTCTAGAGCGTGTCGTTCGGTGCTGGTAGGGCCTTGCAGCGTTTACAACAGGTAGGGTTGTCCCTATTGTGCAAATCCACCCCGGAGTCGAATCGACCGGAATCCAGGCTGAATTCATCCTCGACTCGACCTGGGCTAATCTACCGGAAGCTTCCGCAGGGGGCTCCTGGCGGAGACTCTGCCGAATCCATGTGCCTTGCCTCGTGGATCCTGCTACAGATAGTGCTCCTTCCACGCGGAATCCGACTTTAGAAGGCTTGTGCTCGTCCTCAGTGGACCCCCCTTTGCTCCCCTGTCCCCGAGGTGCAGACTTCGCCGGCCTGAAGACGAACAACCTCGAGCTTCGACCGCTGCAAGCACGCAGGGGCCTTATAAATAGTCAGAGTCTGATGTCTGTTCGGAGCCTATCCTGAGATGTTATGAGACCATGGTGAACGCACAGCGGAAACAGCGCGGCTCGGATCTTCGACCATGGGGTAGGGCTCGTTTCTGTGATGGGCCCGTCTTGGCTCAAATGCGCGCTCGGTCCCGGTCTTTGTCCGACTAGTTGTTCGCTTTCCTGCACCTTGGCTCTTTTCCATCGAAGCGGACGGCAGGATGTTCTTCCTCGCAGTGGCCGCTTTCAGCTTGCTTCCCTGGTCGGTAGCAGGGAAGATGGCCGTCGTGCGAACCTTCGCGACCAGTCAGGAGGTCGCTGTGCATGGGTTGGCTTGGGCTTATGCCTCGAACTTCGCTTCGTTTGTTTTTGACTTTCTGTTCTGCTTTGGGCTTTGTTGTCTAAGTCTGCGCCACGGGGTCCTCATAGTTTTCAGGCTTCGGGGATTACTTTTTCTCGAGCCCTCCAGAGTTTCAGAGTCCTTGAGATCAAGCACTAGCTGTGTAAGCAGTTCCGGATGCGCCGAATTCAGGTCGCGGATCTGATGCAGTCCTACACGGAGTGGGAGTCGACCATGCCGTGCGCAAGTCCTGGCCAGAGCAGCACGGTAGACCTGATCTTGGTTTACAGCAAGGATCTCGCCACGGACTCCACGGCCACGGCCGCAGTCCAATCCTATGAGTCAGGCTTCGCGCAGAATGAGCACTGGACCGGCTGCTTCGGAGGCATCAAAAACTTTTCCGCCAAGCTTGCCCCAGAGGAAGACCACTACGACGACCAGGGCTATGCAATGAACAGGCACTGGGTCTCAGGTCCCAACATGGTGTTTCAGCACGTTGTGGAGGCCATGTTCACCGGAGCCTTTGCCGGTGAGTACGACAGCTTCTTCTGGATGGAGATGGATGCCGTTCCTGTGAAGGCAAACTGGCTAGACAAGTTTGTGGAAGAGGCCGCAGAGATGCCTGCCATGAACATGGCCATCCGTGGCAGCCTCTACGAGGGAGCCAACTGGCAAATGTTCTCACATATGATGCCATCCTACTTGCTGAACCACATCAACGGCAATGCCATCTACAACCTGCAGCACCCGTGGACGAAGTTCCTGTTCGACACTTTCACTGCAGAGGGCAATGCCGACTTGATTGAGGAGATGGCCTTCGACACCGTGTACTCAGCCATCACGGCAGCTGCCATGGAGGGCTCCAACGTAATGCTTGCAGCAGCATGGGCAGCTAGCAACGGCTCGACCATGACCTACAGCTCTGACACTGAGCTGATCCGAAACTATGCCAACACCTTGCTGAACAGCAGCTACGACATCGGGGCGTACATTCGCCACGGATCGAGGCATAACATCTTGGAGAGTTTGGCGGGTGACATGGTCACGCTTGGTGTTCTTTCCATTGATGGTCAGAACGACCGCATGCTGAGCAGCCTGTCAACCAATCACCCCTTCAAGAAGGTCCTCATGCTGACGCACTACCCAGTGACGACGTCCACCCAGACCATCGAGGCGCCAGGCGGCGCTGTGACGCTGACCATCGAGGAGGCTGAAAGCAGCCCACTCATGCACATGTGCGAGGTGGCGGACAAGGTGACGACACCATGGTTTGCCTTGGCAACCAACCTGCACCACATCAATGCGCCGGTGAGTGTGCTCACGAGCATGGGGGAGCCAGTGATGCCGTATCTCCTGGCCACTTCCCCCTACTGCGCCAGTCGTCCTGACTGCAAAGCGGCCTTGGATCAGGCGGATGAGCTTTTTGGCATCTCGCTGAACTACCACCATGACTCGAACGAGGTGCTCTTTAGAACTTCCGATGCCACGAGCTTTTGTGCTGCCTGGATGACTGCCGCTGGCAACAAGACTGTCGAGACTTGCGAAATGGTCTTCGGGCCCACCGCAGACGACTTCGTGGCTTGGCAGATTGCCGTGGGCATGAACGTCACGGGTTTGCCGAAAGACAAGACACGCTATGGCTGGAGGCCTTGGACGACCCTGTGGGCTCCAATGCCTGTGGATGAAAGAAATTGCTCGACCACCGTCTATGGTGAAAAGGAGTACCTGGAGTCGCTCGCCTTCATCCCGAATTGCAGCGTCTATGTGGAGAATGCTTCCGCCTGCGATGCTGACACCATGTGTTATTGGAGGCCCATGTTCGAGACGGGCATTTGTGCCACGCAGTCGACGGGCACGAACATGATCGTGAACATCACTGTGCCTCCAACCACAACGACTGAAGAATATCTCCCAGAGATATCTAAGGCTTGTGGTACTATGGCCGTTATCGGTGCAGTTTTGGCTCTGTGCAGGGCTACTATTGCTTGAGCATAGATAAGCCCATGTTTGAGGAAAGAAATGCTGATGCCGAAGTGCACAAGCGTAACTCAATGTAATGGCACAGACTTGCAGCCGTGAGAAGAAAGGGACTCTGTGGCTCGATCAGTGCAGCAAGCCACGCATGACCCCACACTCCAAATTCATGAGACGCCTGATCCCAAGCCTGAGGTGTGTCCATTCCATCCTCATGACGACACTGGTGGACTACCAGAATTTGCCCCTGTCTCTGTGCCAAAGGCCCGAGCCCTAGAGCTGTCAAGGTCCGAGGGCTAAAGCTGTAACGATAAGGATGACGTCGATGTCAAGATGAGGGTGATGATGGCTTCCTGCACGAGGCGTGCTGTTATGGCCGCCGTCACCACCATCAGCCCCATCAGAATCCCCTTATTAAAAAGCTGCCAGCTCACGCAAGCACCACCATCACCACTAGCGCCACCAGCACCACCAGCCACCAGCATGCACGGGCACAACCGTCATGATTTACCATCGCCATTACGGTTCTTCACACGATCAGCGAAGCCTGAGTGCGTGTTCGGGTTTCCAAGGTCCAAAGCTTCTTCTTCTTCCAGCCTGTTCAGTGTCGACCTAGTATTCGCAGTAGCAGTATCAGCAGTAGTGCTAGTAGAGTAGAGGGGGCTGGGGAACACGACCAACCGGTGGCAGCAACAGCAGCAGCAGTAGCGGCAAGAGCAATGCCGACGGCGAGGTGTCGGCTGTAGCAAAGGTAGCAGCAACAAACACTTGCAGTGCCTCATGCCGGCTGGACCATGCTTGAGCCCAGGAAGGTTCTAGAGCGTGTCGTTCGGTGCTGGTAGGGCCTTGCAGCGTTTACAACAGGTAGGGTTGTCCCTATTGTGCCAATCCACCCCGGAGTCGAATCGACCGGAATCCAGGCTGAATTCATCCTCGACTCGACCTGGGCTAATCTACCGGAAGCTTCCGCAGGGGGCTCCTGGCGGAGACTCTGCCGAATCCATGTGCCTTGCCTCGTGGATCCTGCTACAGATAGTGCTCCTTCCACGCGGAATCCGACTTTAGAAGGCTTGTGCTCGTCCTCAGTGGACCCCCCTTTGCTCCCCTGTCCCCGAGGTGCAGACTTCGCCGGCCTGAAGACGAACAACCTCGAGCTTCGACCGCTGCAAGCACGCAGGGGCCTTATAAATAGTCAGAGTCTGATGTCTGTTCGGAGCCTATCCTGAGATGTTATGAGACCATGGTGAACGCACAGCGGAAACAGCGCGGCTCGGATCTTCGACCATGGGGTAGGGCTCGTTTCTGTGATGGGCCCGTCTTGGCTCAAATGCGCGCTCGGTCCCGGTCTTTGTCCGACTAGTTGTTCGCTTTCCTGCACCTTGGCTCTTTTCCATCGAAGCGGACGGCAGGATGTTCTTCCTCGCAGTGGCCGCTTTCAGCTTGCTTCCCTGGTCGGTAGCAGGGAAGATGGCCGTCGTGCGAACCTTCGCGACCAGTCAGGAGGTCGCTGTGCATGGGTTGGCTTGGGCTTATGCCTCGAACTTCGCTTCGTTTGTTTTTGACTTTCTGTTCTGCTTTGGGCTTTGTTGTCTAAGTCTGCGCCACGGGGTCCTCATAGTTTTCAGGCTTCGGGGATTACTTTTTCTCGAGCCCTCCAGAGTTTCAGAGTCCTTGAGATCAAGCACTAGCTGTGTAAGCAGTTCCGGATGCGCCGAATTCATCGGGAAGTGCAAAGGGTGACCCTAGACCAGGGTGCCCTTTGTTTGGAGTGATCATTGGTGGGGTGTGGGGTGTGTTGCTCGTCGTAGGATTAGGTAGTGATCGGATAGTAAGCATTATAGTCAGTGGTAGTGGTCCGAGTGGAGGGGGGGTGTCAAGTAACAGGATTAGTAGTCGAGGTCCGTCCTCGTCGGTCGCTTCTGCGTGCACAGACACACACATAGACACACACACACACACATGCACATGTGCACACATGTGGTCTTCCTCGCCACCATCATCAGCCGGTCTTGAACTCAGCTGTTCATGTGCAGTGGTAAATGTTGCTGATGTGGTGTCCTTTTGAATGTCTGCAGGTCCGACTCGACATCATCGGCCCGAGTTCCTGATTGGGGCACAAGCACCACTTTGTCCGTGCTCTTTCGTTGTGGAAGTTTGCATGGCTTGGTAGCACAGCTTGACTCACTGATGCATGGCCCGAGTTCAGCACTGTACAGTGTGTTGTGTCAAGATGCAACCTGGTAGATCCTGCCAATAGTCACATCCTTGCCTGAGCTAATTCAGCCATGCATGTCTGAGCGTTCACAACATGCATCCAGCAGTGAGTCCAGACAGACGTGCTGACTTCTTAGCTTGTATGGCAACGTGGCTGATCATGCCAGTAGTCATATGCTTGCCTGATAAATTAAGCCACCCAGGCATCGCGGAGCTTTAGTGCTAAGACGTCTTAGCGAAATTGACCTGTGAAAGCCATTGCCTTGGCTGGGTCCTTTGGTCGAGCTTCTGCTGCTGGCTGAGACTCTCTGCTGCAAATCTGTGCTAATCTGGGCTTGAACCACCACATAGCAGCACAGCACATTCCATTGATCCTGAGCATTCAGAAGCCGACGTGCATCTTGAAGGCGGCGCCAGGGCACTTGCAGCTGGGCTTTCCATTTTCAGAGATCATGATAGTCGCTGTGGCTGGAAGTGAGTGCACTTTCTAGGGGACTGTATTTTGAGGAAGAACAGCCAGCATCCACCGCATCTTCAAGGTCCGACTGCAGCCGCTTCGGCTTGACATTGGGGCTGGTTCGAACTTATGCAACTTGATGAGAGTTCCTTGTCAGTCTCTGTCAGGAATGGCACGGCTGTCTTTTGATCGCTACCCTGGAGACTTCATTCAACGGGCGTTTGACACAGGCCCGAATCGTTACACTCAGGTTTTTTTCAAGACAGACCCAACAGAGTTTGGTGATCGTTGCTTTTTGTTTGTCAGGTCCCCGGGAAATCAAAAGATGGGGCAGCTTGGCACATTGCTCCGGGGAGCTCTCCTGGAACGTCGACAACACTGAGGAAAACAACGCGGCCCAACCCTTGGTACGGTATGTCATTATGTGTTTGCATACACATGATGTATGCATGTCTGCAATACATGAAGGTCCGATTGGCCGTGAAGACCACCCACTACCCTGTGGCATGGACTTTGAATGCCACAGGGGCAGACATGATAGCCTGGGTGGAGATGCTTGGTAGCCTATGGGACAACTTTACAAAATTTTCGGCCTGGTGTATGTGGTCAGTTTTAACTTTCTGGGGCCTGGTTATGAGGATGTGGGCGATCCTGAACCACAGCAATGGCTGGGCCCGATTCTTGGCGGAGGAGGTGGCAAGTCACATGGTGCGCAAGTTGACCAAACAGGACGACCGCTGGCCCGACTTTTCGCTACTAGGCAGCACCTTTGAGTTTTGGGAGTTTCTATTTCTCCAGTAGTAATATGGTTCAGTTAGACGAAAGGACCCCAAGACCACAACCCAGGAAGTACTGGTCAGAAAAGACGAAACTGGTCATGGAATACTTCCGCGCTTGTCACCACCAGTGTCTGGGTTGTGCTTTGGGATAATTCTTATTTTTCTGGTCTTTTACTACCTTATCCAGGGAACATATTCATACATAATTTTCCAAGGGCTTAAATGAAAACAGACCCAGGAAGCCCCCCAGGCGGGAGACCACGGGGCACGCCACTGGGAAGCCCATGCTGACCATGTGTCGATAGATGAAGTGTGGTCCGAGTGTCCCGGCCTTGCCTGGTGTTTAGACAAGCTCCATGTGACCGATCCCACCACGTGGTCCGATTCTTGGTTAGATGGAGATGGCAGGGATTTGGGTTGCTTTAGTGAAAAATCCAACTCAAAGACAGCTTCTTAGTCTTGTGAGCCTGCACTGATTGTCAGGACTTGCTGGGGCTTTACTGGGAGAACCGAATAGGGTCCGACTACGCCATGGAGCATATTCGCCATATGACCTCTGGGATCGAGTCGAGCCGCAGCTTGGATTCCAACAATTATGTTCTGTTGTTCAAAATGTCTAACCCAATGCTAACCTTAAACCCTAAACCCTGAACCAGTCCGAGTTGCGAGAGCGTAAACCCTGAACCATCCCAAAGAAGGAGTGGCTCCGCTTCTCCAATGTGAGGGGCTGTTTGTACTCTCCCGATAGCTCGTAGTCTATGGCCTTACCTTTTGTTTCGCTGTCTTTCTACTGCTATCGGGGAGTCCTGTAGATGTTCAGTTGCCGACCAAGAACCTCGTCTGGATTGCCCGAGTTGCGAGAGCGTAAACCCTGAACCAAACATCCCTGCAATGCGGGCTTCGTCCTTGCTACGTGGGATGGATAAAACCCTAAACCTCAATCGTCTGAGGTCCGCGCAGAAGCCGCTGGGATGATGTTGAAAGCGCGCGGCGGCAGCAGGTCCACAACCTCATCTCCTTCTATAATGAGAAGATGAGGTTCTGCCGGTCCGAGAGGTCCGATTATAAAAAGGACCCCCCCCGAGTTTGCGCGATGACACTGATGACGAGGCCTGGCTGGGGCAATGATGCTGTTTGGCTTGTGTTTTTGGCTGTGCCTGCCTTTCCCCGATTTTCATGGTGACGAGGCATGGGGGGCCGGTCCGAGTGCAGCTGCTGGTCCGAGTGCGGCTGCCGGTGCTGGCCCGAGTACAACGCCTCAGGAGTGCTGTGACATAATAATTCTTACTGGGCTGCAGATAATAACTAACTAACCACTGAGCATGAATCGGATATTTCAATTCAAGTGACAGAGAGACCCTGCAGGAGCCATCCCATCCACCACCTGGCCGCACACCACCTGGGCCACCATCTGGACCACCACCTCCGCCGCCACCAGCCTATCCACCGGGCCCTCAGGACTAGTGTGGCTTTAATTAATTAAGTAAGTTGCATTGCCATCATGAATCAGATAATCAGCTGACCTGGCAGGATCCTGCCCCGCCTCGGTCCGATTCGCGTCCAACGCCGACGCCGAAGGCGGAGCATCCTTACTGCTATGACTCATGATATGGATTGAGCTGCCAGGCACCGCCCTATGAGATCCGCAAGAAGGCCAACAAGGCTGACAGTGACAAGCCAGGGGACCACCCAAGGGATTCGTTGGGAGTCTACTGATTCTTTCGGCCCGATTCTTGCAAGGCAAGCTTCGATGCCACTGGCATCGCCCAGCCGAAGACTCCTCCGGAGGTGGGTTGGTATTTCCGGTTTCCAGACGTCAATTAGTCATTTTATAAATTAATGTGCAGGCACCATCGTCTTCTGCTCATGCTGGGCCCGATGCATCGTCCTTGGTCTGAGATGGGTTTGCATGAGGAGTGATATTTTGGTTCACAAGTCAGCAGACTGTCTGTCTGACTCTTGACTGAGGCAGAGGACCAAGATCGGACGCCTGGCCCGAAGGCTATGGATGGGTTTGGCTGAGTTTATTGTTGCACATTGGCCAGTTGACTCGACGTTTAGTCATACAGGCTGGCAAATCTGGCGAAAGCAGTGTTGAGAAGTGGCTCAAGGCCACTGGTATCTTTGCATCTGAGTGTTGTTCTGCTGCTTTGTTTCTTCAGAATTCTGTCCAGGCAGAAGGACAAGAAGAAGACAAAGAAGATGTTGCTTGTCAGAGCTTGGCGACATCTTCATTGATTTAACAATGACATGTGGACTCCGATTCGACATGCTATCCAGCTGAGGACCACAAAGCCGAAGACAAAGAAGTTGCTTGGGCAATGTTTTGCTAGCCATGCAATGTCGAGTCAGTGAAAGTGAAATGTGGGCCGTTTCGACATACTATCCAGCCTAGGCCACCGACGCCAAAGGCACGGCCGATACCTCGGGAGTTGCTTGGATGCAATGATTTGAGAGTGACATCTTGGCCCGGTTCATCAGTTAGACTAGACATGTCATAACTGAGCATGACATGTGGACCCATTCGACATGCCATCCAGCCTAGGCCGACGACCGGTCCGAGCGCATCCCACCTGAAGTCGAAGGAGTTGCTTGGTAATTCAATTCGACAAAGCCATTGCAGAGTGGCATGTGGGGCGATTCGACATGCTGTCCAGCCAAGGCCACAGAGGAGCGCAAGGTCCAGGAGTCCAAGGGTGTTACTTGGATCAAGCAGACTGCATGCCGACTCACATGTGAGCTTGACATGTTGCAGATGTTTATTTACATTTCGAACGTTGCAGTAGCTATTCAACTTAGGTCCAAGAAGATGACGGCCAAGGCAAGTCATCCAAGGCCACCGACGGCTTTGCTCGGTCGACACCAACATTATGCAAACTCATATGTGGGCTTCACATGTTGCGCGCTTAAGTTGTTTTGAATCGCAGTATCTATCCTATAGGAGGCCGATGACAGCCGCCAAGAGTCATCAGCCGCTGCCGATCCCAAGGGCGTTGCTTGATCATACGAGCAGATGCAATCCATGGTGGCATGCAAGATTTAAAGACTTGGGCAAATGAAATGGACAGCCTAGGTACGGGCCGAATGCAAGGTTCCCGCCACCGTTACTTGGCCTGGTATCAGCGCATCAGATAGCCTTGTTGTATTTGTTCTTGTCACCTTATGAAACTGTATGAGTTCAGTCAAAGACCGATTGACAACAAGAAGCACAAATCTCATTTATTCAAACCCAGGAGCCCCTTGAGCCGGACGTCCGTCCTGAGGATGTTACCTGGCCTTCAATCCAGCATCAGACAGCCTGGTCGTCACTTCTGTGTTGTCTCATTAACCGGACCACCACTCTCAACTTTGCAAGTGACACTTGCCACATCCAACCCAGGGGCCCGAAGCCAATGCCAGCGATCCTCCGACACCAGGCGTTGCATGGCCTGCAACCAGCATCAGACTCGTGTGTGTCATTGTGTGTTGCCTCTTGAATTAACCAACAGTCTCAACTTTTCAAGTGCCGCATCGAACCTAGGTCGATTCCGCCGAGGCCAAAGCAGAAAGCAATGCCGCGGCCACCAGTGATGCCACCGCCACGGGCGAACATTTGGATGGCATGACCGAGTGACAGTGAGTCGCTGAAGCCATCGCTGCAATTTTTCATGCATGGACCAAACGAGGACCGATTAGATTGAATTAAATATAAAGGTGTTTACTTGACTTGTGTGTTTGTTAATTTAAAGTCTCAAGTCAAGACACTGGCATCTTGAATTGGTTCATGCAAGACGTATAACAGCACTCTGCAATTTAATTGCTTTGAATCCAGGGAGCTCAATCTGCTGCAGCTGGGAAAAACTGGGTCCTGGGTTGGATCAGCTGTGACTCACAGTCATTGGCCGTCTTGTTGTTTTGCATCTGACTATAAATCATGATATTGTTTTGTTTCTGGCTTTGCGTGGCAAGGCTGTGCTCCTTCACTGGAAGCAGTGCCAAACCCTCAGCTCACAAGCTGCAGGCTTCTGACTGTGGCGTCGCACTTATTTCAATTTCAATGCAGGAGGATGAGTGCTCAAAGTCCGAGGACTTTGGCATCACTGGTCTGTTGAGTTTTGTTTTTTGTTGAGCCTGTGAGTCAGTGCTGGCAGGAGGCCGGTGGCCTATGGTCGGACACTGGTCAGCTTCAGTGATTCTTGCCAGCCAGGACCTGAGATTGAATGGAAATCCTTCAGTTAAATAATAAAGCCTTGCCATATTCGGACATGTGGGATGCAGGGGATCCTGTGCTGGCCCTGGTTCACTATCATGTTACCGTTTTCATCTTCATTTTGAAAGTTGCAACTTGTCTGCCAGTGTCCACCGGTTACCAGAGACACTCTGTGCCAACTCGATGGTACTGCTCCTTTGTCTTGTAGATGCAGGATCACGTGTGCATGCTCTAGTCTAGATTGCTGTTGAGTTGTGGCCCGAAAATAGCTTAAGCCATTTTGATTTGTCGTTGGCACTCGCGACCTGCAACCATGGCCAACAACAAACAGCTGACTGTATGTACTTCACTTATGTTTTGGAATCAGCTTTTTGGTGGGGCCCCCACCGCAGCAGCTTGTCATCGAGTGAATTGGCAGCAAAGCATTACAGCACAGTACAGCATAGTACTTTGCATTTTCACCCGACCTGGCCATTATGCCTTCACTGCCACAGTTCCGGCGTCTGCTTTCGGACCGACGCCAAGTTCGTCTGACCCGATCCCTTGAGGATAGCGGAGGAAGTACTTTGTGGCAGCGCAAATGGGGCCGAATATTCATGTATCGGCCGTTCATCTTGCGGTTCATCGCAGGCTCTGTCCAGATGCAACTCCAGGACGATGGCACATGGTACATCGCCGTGTGGCCCGAAATATCGTTCACAGGCCCCGTGCATGCACCGCACATTTCTTTGGGACGCTTCGAGCTCACCGAGACCGACGTGCCGGTTGCTTGGCAACAGATTGCTTTCATCGAGTCCCTGGGCTTGTCAGAAGTTTTCTACGAACCGTATGGACGGGGACTGCATTGGCTCATCACCCCTCTATTTTGCATGTCGTCTTGCTCAACAACGACTTCGTCGGGTTGCAAGACGTGCTGTCCTCGTAGAGGACCTACATATCACTTGGCAGCTTGTACAGTCCTGGTCAGGCTGGTAGGCCCGAACAAGAGCCGCGTGCGTATGATGGTAGGCCCGAATAAGAGCCGCGTGTCTGCAGCTTCAAGTCAAGGCATTGTTGATGCAGTCACACTTCGAATATTCAACAAGACGGTGGCGCCAGCAAAGTGGTATGTCAGTTGCGGCCAGAAATAGTTCCGCGCAGGGCAGGTTGTCTGAGGGCAGCAGTCAGAGCGGACAAATCAGATCTAATTCCACCGTAGCCATTTTGGCTCAAGGCCGTTTGGGTTCGAGGGCTCTGAGCCCAGCTTGTCAGTGCGCCCCACTTAGACTGGAGGTCTATTCCTCTGTGCCTTTTCTCAACAGTGCTCCAGGAGCTCCGCTAGGAGGTTTATCCCTCCTTTGTGACATGGCTCGGCTGAACCCTGATGAAAGGGATACTGCTCCTCCTCGGGAGCCTCCGGAGGGGGCTGGGGGGGTGCGTGGTCCTGGCGAGAGAGAGGATGTGGATATGCGTCCGGATGATGGAAATGTTGGGGATGGTGGTGGGGATACAGATGTCTCTCAAGCTAGTACTGTGCCTTTTGGTGAACTTAGGGGTGCAGGCGTGCATGGGAATGAAGGGCTTCTTCAGAACATGGCTGCTAATTCAGGGCTCGCCTTGCCTCCCCCAGGGCGTGAGCCTGTCGAACCTCTCAGGATGCCTGTTCGTGAACCTATCAGGATTGAGAGAAACGACCCAAATTTTCTTGCTCGTCAGGCTGCCCGTGCTGCTGCCTCGGCGAGAGAGGAGAGTCCCCTCCACACCGCGCAAGCCCTCACGGATAGGGACCATGCTCATGCTGCCTTGCAAGCTGCCTTGGAGGTAGACTCCCGTAGGATTAATAAAATGCCGCCTCCTCCCTCTGCCCGTCACGGTAGCCCTCCGAAACGAACAAAGCCGAACCCTCAGCCTACAGGAGTTTCCGCAGGACTGCGACCGGCTCCGGTCTTTGGAGCTGAGGTCCCTAGAGGGCCTCCTGTCCCTACTCATCACCACATTGGTGAGGAAGATGAGCCGGCTTGGCTCCACGGGCTTAAAGCTTCCCTACAGGCAGGACAACGAGAGATTTTGGCTAACGTCCATGAACAGCGAGCGGAGTTTCGCGAGATGGGGTCTCGGCTTGAAAGGGTTGAGGCTAAGCAGGACGAGTTTGGCCACTTTAGGGATGAGATGGCTAAACGCATGAAAGACATGGAATCTGAGCTCCGCGAGGTCAAGAGTAGGTCTGTCAGTCCTGTTCAGACCCCCCGTCGCGGCGGGGGCACCTCGGGATTCCGAGGCACAGGCCAGGCACCTAGCCCGGCTGGGTCCTCAGTGGCTGGGCCCCTAGTAGACGACTGGCAATTAGTCCTTGGAGGCTATGCAGACGCGAAACGGGAAGAGATCCAAGCTGAAGTCAGAGCTTTGTTTGAGGAAGCGGAGGCCTCCCCCCTTCTCAAGAACATTATCACGCCCTTTGTCCGTTCGAACATTTGTCGGATGGAGCTCTTGTACCTGGATGAAGGTTTTGGGGCTCGCAGGGGTGTCCAACAGGCTGTGATTGTCGCTCTGCGAAAGGCAATTGACGCACGGGGGAAGAAATCCACCATCATGGGGCAAGAGCGTGCTTCGCTCTGGGTCTCACGAAACCGGGGGCCCGAAGAGAGGAATCGGAACAGGGCGCTCTTAGGTCTTAGGGACTTAGGCCTTGCTCACCTCCCACCGCAATTGGTGGACCTCGATTGGAAAGGTCGATTGTGGTACAACGGTACCCAGGTACTGTACCACGTCGACCGCGATGATCCCACTGATGACGCGCTTATGTTTCTTTCTACGCGAGGCGACGAAAGCGGCTGGTGGGTCTCGCTGCGAAGGGTGTCGTCTTTGCTCCAGGTTAGTGAAGACGAGGTACGCAGGAGGTTGGTTGGGTAGGGACCGGGGCAGAGCCCTAAACCCTCTCGTTCTGTCACGGCCATTAATTCGATTGCTTGCACATGCTCAACGTGGAACCTTCATGGTAAACCAGTCACTAGTCTCTCTCCGCTTTTTCATAACCTTGCGGATGCACCGGAAATTTTCTGCATGCAGGAGGTCGGAGGCTTTAGTCACCTGCAGGTTGGTCAAACGATCACCCTGGACCTCTTCATTGGCGATTCTGAGTATGTTGTGTACGTCCATAACACCACTAAGGCACACCTTGCGACAGCGGTGGCAGTGCAATCGGCTATGGAGCCGTCTGCTCCGAAGTTTACTTCCCTTTCTGCTGGGTTTCTTGTTGAACTGTTTTTGGGATCTTCCCACTTTCTCCTTGGCTCCCTCCACCTTCCGTATGAACAGCGAAATGATGCGACTGAGGTCTGGCTCGATTCATTAGAAAGTTTCACCGTGGTACTGTCCTCCTTGTCCCCTTGCTGCACTGTTTTTGTTGGGGCTGACCTCAACCAACCACTTTATGTGGAAGTTGACAACTTTCCCGCCGTTGCCCAGCTTCGACTCATGGCTGCTCGGTTCATGCTACGCTTTTCGGATGACGTGGGGGACACTTGGCATGCCAGGGGTTTGTCGGCACCCATTGATTTCATCCTCTTTCGCCATCAGGGCATGTTAGGCCACACCACCAAACGCGAGGACCTGCGACTGGCACTTCCCTCTGACCACGATATGGTTCAAGTTTTGCCGCAAAGCTAGAGACAGGACTCGCAGAACCTCGAACTGCGGCAGGTGGTGTTTCTCGCCTGAGGCTTGGGCTACTCAATTCGCCTCCCTTCCCCAGGCGCACACAGCGGAGGACCTTAGCTCTGTTTTCGCTAAGGTGCGCTTTCGACAGGCCTCTCTCCGCTACCGGGATTCAGAGGAAATTAAGGAATTGATCCGGCAGCGAAAAGTGGCCCAGGATCCAGTTCTCAGGGCGGCCCTGGCCCTAGAGATTGCACAGCAAAGATGCCTGGACCAGGAGTCTCATCGTAAAAGTATCTTGGAAAGGGCGCGCTCGGGCGACTTTGCAGCTATCTCCTACCTCAGGCGCAGTGCGTCTCAGACGAAGGTGGCTGGGTCTTACATCCAGTCTAGAGGAGGGCTGGAGACGGCCACCGAGGAGCTGAGAGACTTCTACAACCGGAAGTATGATGCTGCAGGGACTGGTGCGGACCTCGGCAAAATTGAAGCAGTCAGAGCTTTGCACGAGGAGGCCCCGTGGGTACCTTTCACCCTTAAAGAACTCGTGGAAGCCACTAGTAAGATCAAGCGAGGCACGTCCTCTGGTGAGGACGGGGTTCCTTACGAGGCCCTTTATGCCTATGCGGTCTCTGACCACGGGACAAAACTTCTGCATTTGTTCAACCGGTTTTTGTCGGGGGACCTTCCACTGCCTGCATCTTGGAGGGAAGGAAATATCGTTCTTCTTCCCAAGACACCGCAGCCAAAAGGGCCTGCGGATCTACGCCCTATTGCTCTCACGTCTTGTATGGCCAAGGTGTACCCCCGGCTCCTCCTTGCTAGGCTGGAAAGTCGCTTTCCTCCCTTCGATGCTGGACAATTCGGAGCGCGCAAAGGAGTGCAGACGATAGATGGAGTGGCGGCCGCGCACATGACCATGCGCCTCGCTGTTTCTAGATACAAGTCGAGGCCTGTTATTGCCAAGTTAGATGTGAAGGCTGCTTTTGACAGTTTGAGTTTTGATGCCATACTCGAGTTTTTGCGTCATACTCAGCCTTCTCGTGAAGCCTGGCTGTTGTGGGACCTGTGCTCTTCGTGCAGTGTCAACATGAGGCTCGGATCGAGAGCTTGGTCTGTGCCCCTTAAGCAAGGCCTACCACAAGGGACTGCTTACAGCGCAGTCCTTTTCGGACGAGTCTTGGACTGGTTTTTAGGGCCCCTCATCCGCACCTGGGAGCAGCGCTGGCCTGATTGGCGCCTGCCATTTTTGTTGTTGTACGCTGACGATGTTCTTCTTCTTGCCCCTTCGGCCGCTCGGCTGCAGCAGATGACGCAGGAAGTAGTCGACCTTCTGTCCACATTGAATCTCCGGGTCAACGCGGCCAAATGCTCAGTGCTTGACACGGAGGAGGGGGTTGGCCATGGGATTTTTCTCCGGGGACACTGTGCTCCTCTTAAGACCGAGGCGTCCCTCCTTTATCTGGGGGTGCCACTGCAATTTGACTTCAGCCCGATGACATGTTTCGGAAGGGCGCTGGGGAGGTGTTCTAATACCTTCTTTGCTATGCGGAACCTTTTCAACTCGCGACTTCTGCCTGCGGTCAAGAAAATCCAGCTTTTTGACCTGTATGTTACCTCGAGATGGCTCTGGTGCAGCGGGCTCATCTGGCCCACTAAGGTCTCCCTGCGGAGCCTTACTAGTCATCAGACGACCTTGCTGCTGGGACTTCTCGGCTTTCGTGCCGACTTCTTTGGAGAGTTCTTGCATAACGTAGTTGCGAAGCGTAGAGCTGTTAGATGTGTCCTGCATACACTCCAACTCGAGACGTGGGACCAGAAGTGGCTGAAGCAGGTCTGGCGATACTGGGGCCATGCCGCCAGAAATTCGGTTTCCACGCCTCTGAAATTCTTGATGCACGAATATGGGAACATTGGACTCATGGCAGGTAGATCCCTGCCGGGATGGGTTTCGAAAATCATTCCCAGCAAGCTACAGCTTGTTTTTGCAGAGCTTAGAGAAGCCTGCCATCCGGCCTTGTGGGAATCTGCAGCTCTCAATAGACCTCTGTGGCAAAAACTTCTGGAACCTTGGTGTAAGCACTGGGGGACGGGGCCTCCCTCCACCGACCTTTTAGGCCGCCAACTTCTGATCATTGACAAAGCCGAAGCTGTTCTACGGCCATTCAGGTTCTTCCCTGAGGAGGCCTACACATGCTCGGTTTGTAACATACAGGGGACTAAAATACTACCCTCCGGACCGCTCTTGTGGTGCTCTATAAGCTCCACAGGGGTCTCCGTGGTCGTTGTTCCGAGTTCTAGATCAGCGGCGTCGGCCTTAGTTGTCCAGGAGCAGCATCCTGTCGGCTCGGAGAGTACTCTGTCGCGCGCTCTGCACCTTTGGAACCTGATTGGCTTGATACACAGAATTAGTGGTGTCCATATGGATGTTCGCCTCGTCGTTCCTTCCGAGTGCGTCACCAGCAGCCTCCTTAGTGGGGACGTGACACTCGCGACTAAAGCATGGCATGCGTCCTTTGAAAATCAGGAGCGGTGCTTTGATCTGCTCAGCCGCACTGTTGTGTGGAAAGGCAAGGACCTCTGTAAGCTTCCTGCCTTCCTGCGCTCCCTGCCGGTGGGGCCTTTCCCGGGCTCCTTCACGTCACTAGTGCGGAATGGAGATTTCGGGTCGCCGTGCTTTCTGCATAGAAGAGCTGTGTAAAGATTTTAACCATGGCCAAGGGGGCTGCGCCTCTCTCTTGCGGAGGGGGGGGGGCGGGGCGGCCAATTAATGTTCTCTGCCGCTGCAGAACATGGGCTCACAGGGAATCTGGCTGCAGCCAAGACAAGCTTTTTCTGGGAGTCATGTCCTTCTCTTGCCTCTCCCCTCCTCCTCCTGCGTCCCTGGATTTGTGTGATGATACCTCTGGTGGAGATGATGATGATTCTGTCATATGTGTGGAGGCCACGCAGGGTGTGGACCAGTGTGTAGACAGCGACAGCGACTCTGAAGACTCTGAGTGCAGGACCCCTAGAGCACGTGAGTCTGACCCGGCCTACCTTAGGCACCACCTGGCCACGCTGACTGCTGACAGAAGGGATCGGCCCATTGAGGCTAAAGCCTTCCACCTCCTTAGACGTGGTGAGCCGCCCTGTAAATCCGATATCCTTACACTTTTTGACCTGCTTCCCCGAAGTACACTCAAACGTAGTCCTAGTGGCAGGTATGTTGTCCTAGGGGCCTCACCTAGGAGCCGTGATGATCTTGTTACCTTCAGCCACTGCATGCCGCTCTTCACACTCGCGGTGAATCGCTTCTTGAGAGCGCACGCACCGACAGCTAGGTACTCAACGCTGGTACTTCGTGAGGGGTGTGCTTCGGCTCCCCATAGGGACATCCGCAATGGGCCTACGAATGCCTGCATCTTCGGTTTGTCTACACGGGGTGCTGAGGATGGGCTTTGGGTTCAACATGCTGACGGGACTGTTTGGAAAGCCTTTCAAGGACGCATGCTGCCTGGCAGGGTTTTCTCAATCGATCAGCCCATCTTTATCAACACTCGTGGTTTACTGCACGCGGGGCACTGTCATACCAGCTCGATCGTAAGGGGCAGATCTAGGGTCATTCTTGTGGCTTTCTGCACGATCCATGTCTCTTCGTTCGCGAGGGATTTTTCGGAGCAACTTTTGGACTTGGGTTTTCCCTTACCAACCTGCCAGGAAATCCGGGCCGCAGCCTCGAAAGGATCTTCCTCGGGCTCGCATTTTCGGCAACTCAGGATAACCGAGGCATTCACAGAAGGACGCCGAGGCACATGCTCGGAGCCTCTGACAGTTAAAGCTGTAACTATACATGTCGATAGTGATGACGACGAGTCTATGGAAACACTGCTTGATCCTGAGTCCTTCGTCTCTTCCTGACTCCTTTTGCCCCCTCGTCTGTCTGACTCCTTGGTCTTGCCTTCCCCTGGTCTGTGTGTGTAAGACACTCGACATCGCACTGTTTTTCCTGTCCCTTGGTCTTGCCTCCCCATGGTCTTTGTGTGTAAGACACTTGGCCCCCGCACTGTTTTTCCTTGTCCCTTGCCCTTGCCCTACTCCTTTCCCGTAGCTCCCTGCCTACTTCTCGGGAATTGACTCCTGGAAACTTTCGGCTTTTTGCGAAATGTTTGTATTCTCTTGCCTGCTGGTTTTTTCCCGGGGCTCTTGCACTGCGGTGCAGTAAGTTCGACAGCCTTGGATGTGCCATGGTCGGGACCACGCCGCCTCTTATGGCTGTTTTTGGGTCGACTGACTCCTGGCTCCGCCTACTTGTGCTGGACGACTTTGAGGGGACCAAATGGGGCTGGCTCCTACTCGGGGGCGTTGTGCTTCTTTCCGGGGGAGCACGCTTGGGGAGTATCATGTGGAGCTACCTCGCTGGACTCCGCCGCGATCTCCAGGAAATCAAAGCCGTTTGTGAATCCTTAAGTGCGAGCCTGGACAAATGGAGCACGATTCACTCCGAGAACTTCGGGCGGCTGGAGCGAAGTATCATACTCCTCCTTCAGGACCACCGCCGAGCTGTGGTTTGTGAGCCGCAGAGCTTCATGCAACCACTGCTTTTGGAGAACTGGAACCAAACCCGCCTGGACATTCTTCAACAAATCAGGCTTTTGGGCCTGGAGCTACAGGACATGCGCCATACCATGGATGACCTCATCAAGGTTCAGGCTCTGATTCGGAAGTCTTTAGTTCCCGTGACCACAGACACTCCTGCGGACATCAAGGAAATCAATGGGCACTTGTCTATGATCAGAGAAGGGATCGAACTGGACACGCAGGGCCTGATTGGAGCGGTCCATGGCATGGAAGAACGCTTACAACGCGTTCGTCAGGAACAACGCGCGCAGCCTGCCCTACACCCCCATTTCCAGTCGGAAGTGCTTGTGCAGCTCTCTGTCATTCGCTCACACCTGAGCTCTGGAGGGCACTTGGAGGATGCCACCAGGCCTGATCCGCCTCCCTGGACCTGAGACACCTTCGATGATTGCCTGCACTTCTCAGAAGACACCTTTTTCCCTTGTAAAATAGCTGGAACTGGAGATTTCTCCCTTGCTGTAGCCGTGACATAGCATGTAACTGGAACTGCTTTTTGGGCTTCGCCCTCCCTTGCATCCCCCTTGAGTACTGCGACAAAAAGTGAGGTCTTGCTGCGCAGAGTTGACCTGTGGAGTTGCTCGGAACATGTCACTGGAATCACCTGAAGCTTTGCATGATTGTTGCGAGTGCTCGGCTCCATGTTGTCAACACACAACAGCATGAACGACCTTTGGGAGTTGGACATTGTCCAACCTCCACACCTTCTGCCATTCCTTCCCTTCACTGCGGAAGACTTGGCTAGGAGACTGAATGAGATGCCCGCATGGGTTGCATACTGGGTTGCTGGGGAGATACGCTTTTGGGTTCGTGGGTGTAGGCTTTCCTGGTGGTGGTTCTATTCCCGCCTCACTGCACTTCAGGTGTACTTAGAAAGCCTTGATCGTGTTGCTTCCCAATTCCCCGCCCTCCGCCCTGAAGCCCTCCTTGAGTGGTTTTGTTCAGACGATGATGTCTTTCTTTACCAACGTGAAGTAATCGAATGGACAGGGCGTATTGACTGTACCGCTGAAGCTATAGTTTGGGAGAACACGGGTATGCACCTTCCATGTTGGATCATCGTTCTAGGGCCATCTCCTATCGAGGGTCTCTATGGATAAAGCGCTGCTACATCCTTTGTTGTTTTTCTGCACTGCCTGCCTGCACTGCCTGCCCTTGCACTTGCTTTAAACTGTTTTTACTGTCACTGGGCGACCTGGCCCTTGTCGAGAGATCCTTGCCTGCAAATAGTGAGAGCTTATACACCAGTGGCCGGTCGCCCAGAGTAGTTCCATGGCTCCGCCCTCGGTGCTCTTTTTCGGTTCTGTGCCTTGGGGACGATGTGACCTGCCGACCCGGAACTGGAAAGGGCACGCTGTGCCTTCAAGGACGGCAGCTTTTGCGCCTTGGCCTACCTGACTACTTGTGACACGCCCAGCCTGGAAATTTGTACAACGTCTCCAGATGGCGAACCAACCTTGGGACCTCTATGAGTCATGTCAGATGCCCCAGGCTCCCTTGCAGGGTCGTACGGGCATGGAAGTTTGGGCATGGAAAGCTGACTGGTCTAGGGCCGAATGCCGCGGTCTCCTCGCGCAACGACAGGGTTTACACGCTTGGTCGTGTACAACCTGGAGTGGATGCCTTGCGACTGCCACTTCTCAGGGGCCGAAAGATATGCCTGTTTTGCGGCCAAGTGTGTCGAGTGTCTTCAGTGGATTCGGAGTTTTCTGGGCTCTCGTACACGCTTTCAGATTTTGGGATGGGGTCTTTTTCCCTTCTGTGTTTCGATTTCAGAATGTTGGGCGAAAGGGTTTTCACTGCTCTAGTTTGACACAGATGTGCCTCAATCGCTTTGGTGCACTGCAGCATTCACTGCAGCATTCACTCCTGTAAAAGACTTCCTGCCCCCGCAGATTCCTCTCGAGTTCTGCCCGGAAAGTCTTTTCTAGGTTCACCGCCTGTGAAGCGATGGACTCTCGTGACGATCCCAGGGCAGTCTTCATGGAGATCTCAGACCGGGGCACTCCTGTCGGAGTTCCTCTTCGTTCCACAGCACGGGTGGTGCATGCTGATTCTCACCAACCCGTGGTGGAACAGCCTCACACCGATGCGTGGGAGAAAGGTGCTTGGCTACTGAGCCCAAACGGAGGGTTGTCTTGGGTCCTGCTGGTCTGCTTCGTGATCTACAACTGCTTCCAACTCCTTCGACACCTCAGAAAGGGGATGCCAGTGGATGACGTCCCAGCCGATATGGTCACTGCTGGGACCAAAACCAAGACCACGGACGAAAGCACTGAGCCCCCGCCGGCTCCTGCACTTTCGTCATCGGCACCTGATCCTACCCCTGCCGACCCGCAGGTGCACAAAGGGGACAAGGACGAGGTTGGGGGTCGGGATGTTCAGGATCCTCCGACACAGCCCTGTGCTTCCCCTCCCGAGACAGACGAGGTTCCCCCTGGGCCATCCTCGCCGCCGCTCACCAGTGTGGAGGTGGAGGCCCTCCGAGAACTTCGACAGAGCTTGCAGGACGTCAAGATGTGGGTTGAGGACTCCTCGCATGCTGCAGCTGACCGGAACAAGGAACACCTCGCTGCCACCCTGACGGAGCTCAAACGCCTCCTGGACGGGAGCATCTACTCGCAACCCAGGTTGGAAGCCGCCATGAGAGATGCCTTTGAACCACTGCAGGCCGCAGTGGTGCCAACGCTGACAGGGCTCAAGAGCACGCTGGGTCCCCTGCCGGAACATGGGGCAGACATCCGCGCCCTCAGGGAGGTCATCCTCTCCATTGAGGACGTTGCCACCCGTGCTCTGAAGGGTGTGGAAGACTCGTCGTGGGATCAAAATGGCCGACTCAATGCTATTGGGAACCAGATCGGCACGGTTGGCACAGATGTTGGAAAGGGCCTTCAACATGCCCACAGGAAGCTGGATTCCATACACGCTGCCCTCGGAAGCAAACCAGCAGGCAGCACCGACGGGGGCACCGACTTTACCAGTATCCTGGTGGCTGTCAAGGACCTCCAAACAGAGATGAAAGCTATGAACCAGAACATGGAGAAGCTGCAGACTCAAGTCCAGTACCTCGAAGGACGCATGGAGACTGCACTCTCGAAGTTGGTGGCGGTGGAACAGTCTACCAACAAGCTGGCAGCGGCTCGTCCAAAAGCACCGCCGCCGAGTTCACCGGCGCCGAACATGCCCGCGGAGGAGGCGCCTTTGCCTCCACCCTCGCAGCCCCCCGGTCAATGGCAGGCCCCTGTGATTGGGCCTTCGGTGGGGCCATGTATGCCTGCGGCCACTCGTACGGGTTCAGTGTCGGCACCGACGATGCGGCTGGCTCCACATGTGCAGCTCCTTCAGCCTACACCTCAGGTGCCACACAACGCACCTACCATGCCACAGGGAAGTGGGCATAACCAACCCGTGAACGAGATGGTGAATTTGGTCTGGAGTGGACGGGTCTTTCCTGTTCCAGCAGCGGCCGTGCAACATGGGCCGTGAATGAGAGCCCTGCAAAAATTTGCAGGCCCTGAACGACCGTGCCTTTGTGCAGCATAATTCGGGGGTCAGCCAATTTGAGGGTTTTGTTGCTTAGGGCTTTTGTACCATGCTGTCCTTTCTCCTCGGCTGACACCTGGATTTGTACACTTGCTTGGGGGTCTTTTTCCCCTGCACTGCTGCACTGCTTTTTCACTTCCTTGCACTGCCTTCCTTACTTGTACTGCACTGCCTGCCTTTTGCCCTCCTTGCTTTGCTCCTGCACTGTTTTTTCCTCCTGCTCCATGATCCTTCTCAAGGATACCTGGACATGAGCCAACTGCGGTCGGATTAGCCAAACTCCGGCTACTCTGACGATGTACATACATAAATTTTGTGCACACCAGACGAGAGGTCAGACGAGGAGCCCGATGGCATAAATGTGGGGACTGACGTGAGAGGGTTTTGAAGACCGCCTGCTCATGAGTGGTGAAGAGTTCATGATGCTTATGTGGATTTCATTGCCCTGTGTGTTTGCCCCTGTGATGGTGCGTGTGTTATGCTTGCCTCTGGAAATGTGCGTGTATGGGTGGATGTTGCTGCGCCCCCTGGTGGTGCTGCATGGGTGATGTCCCCTCTCTCTCCGCCTGTGCCCCCTACCCCCTCAGGAGTGCGGTGAGGTCTATCCCTCACGTACCGGCTGCATGCAGACCTGTCAAACAGGGGGTATATTCCCTCACTTTTTACGACCCCTGACGAGTCCGGGGATTGGCACTGGGCTGCTTGAGCTCATCAACTTCGGCCGATTAGGAAAGACATGGAGCGCCATGGCACGATGTTTTCAACAATTGCCGACACAGCTGGACGACTGTTACACCAATCGGCCAATTTGGATGAGACTATGGATGCGACTATAATGTGGAGTGGACCCTTATGCATCTGGGCCTTCTGCTTCAAATGCACCTGTCAGGTGCGTGCCCATGTGTTCTGCGGATTTCCATGGGGATACTTTGTATTTGATCTATTGTCCTGACAGGCGACAGGGGTGGACCGTCGAGCTTTTTGGTTTCCTGCTTCTACTGCAACTCTTGGCGCGTGCCGTGCAAACTGTGGATTTCAATGGGGAGCATGTTGGTTCCCTGCTGCTACTGCAACGCATACCGCGGCGTGCAAAATGCGGGATTTCAATGGGCCAAGTTGGCGCGTGCCGTGCAAACTGGATTTCACTGGGGAGCATCTTGGTTCTCTGCTGCTACTGCAACGCATGCCGCGGTGTGCAAACTGCGGGATTTCAATGGGGATATTCTGCTGAACCCTGCTGGATGCTTGGCTGATGCTCGAGCTGTTGGGCTGGAGCCCCATGTTTTGGCCACACCTGCTGGACTGGACCGAAGACGAGGGATTTCAATGGGCCAAGTTGGCGCGTGCCGTGCAAACTGTGGATTTCAATGGGGAGCATCTTGGTTCTCTGCTGCTACTGCAACGCATGCCGCGGTGTGCAAACTGCGGGATTTCAATGGGGATATTCTGCTGAACCCTGCTGGATGCTTGGCTGATGCTCGAGCTGTTGGGCTGGAGCCCCATGTTTTGGCCACACCTGCTGGACTGGACCGAAGACGACGACTGGAAACGACCGACAGGACGCCCATATCGAGAGACGCCCATATCGAGAGACTTAGCACTTTTTTGAAGCCCCTGGAAACCACTACATGGGAGAGATTGGATTTTCGCATCCCCTCTCAGGGATCACTGGGGGCCAATAACTGCAAAAAGGGTCCTTCGGGGCAAGGAGCTGTCACTTGGGCTTCCAAGACTGCAGGCTTTCCACTGCAGATGGGGTTGCTGTCGTACGGATTGAGGCCCACGTGGTTGCAAACCTGTATCTTGAATTCTGGCGAAACTGGCTGATGTGCGCAGGTGATACTACGCTTTGAACTGTGCCTTTGTAGTGTAGTGAACGGAACGGGATCGCTGATGTCTGTTAACGCTGCAAGGTTGGCCCCAATGTGGGCCGGCACGCCTTATGTAAAGTCGTGAGTTGTTCAACCCTCGTCTGACTTGTCGAGCACGAGTGACAAAAAAATTCCACTGTGTGAGCAGTTGTGCATCGAATTTAGCGCTTTGCGGCTTCGCGGGACCCAACACTGCCAACACTTGTTTGTGTTCTTGTGGAGACTCAACTAGCAACTAGCACGTCTAGTTTGTTGCCTGTGTTTGCTGCAGGTATGTAAAGTGGGAGCACCTGAAGGCGGGGTAGCTGCAACATCTGCAAGGTCTTGCCCCCAACGTGCATATGGATTAATAAGAGCCGCGTGTCTGCAGCTTCAAGTCAAATCAAGCCAAAGCCATGAGGTCCAGGACTGCCAGCATTCCGGGCATCTCCTCACGTCAGAGCCTCGATGACTTATGCACAGTGTAACTGTGACCTACAGCCTCTGCTTCCTTCTTGAGCCCTTCACTTCTGGGACTTCCAGCCTGATTCTCTCTTGTGAAACATGTCCAAGCAAGGGCCAGACACAGAGGAGGAACGGTTTCATGCAGTCCGATTCATGGCCAGGCCGCCTGAGCTGCTTGCAGCATTTGACACGGTCCGAGTCAAGGCCAGGCCACCGATGCAGTACTTAAGTGGGACAAGTTGCACCGACCGAAGCCTTGTCATCACGGTCAGCATGGTAGTTCGAGAATCAGCACTAGCACAATGAAATAGGAGACTGCTGAGCGCTTCATGAGCCAAGCTTTGCAAGGGTCGGTATCGGGCCTTGTGCTTGGGCATTTAACGGCTACTTGCTCAGGTGGTGGCCGAATCCATGGACTATCGGACGAAGACAGCCCAGACCCGGCATGGCTTCTACCTGTTGAAAGGACAATCCTAGGACAGTTGGCATCAGAGATGTGCGCTGCACCCAGGCCTGGATGCCTGCTGCATATCGATTTGATTCATGTGTGGCGTATGCTTTCTTGTTTTACTTATTAGACATCCACCTTGATTTGGCAGGCTTTGCAAAGTGTCCATGGTGGAGTCGAGTGCCATGCTCAGACTGAAGCCTGGGCCAAGTGATTTGTGCAGATGGCATCCTCAGGGATAACTTAGTAAGTTTCTTCAGCTGAACACAGACCCTGTTTGGGTTGCAGTTGTTCAGGCTCGGACGTTGGAGTCTTTTGCCGATCCTGGAGTTTGGGGAGGCTGGGTAACCCCAGAATGTAAACATGAGTCTGCCGATTCCTGATCCACAGCTTTTGCATGAATATTTGGCCCCAAACCCCATTCATCACTCCTTGGACTTCAACTGCAGCTGGCAAAAGCTTCCCTTGGAATTCTGGAAGCCACTGTGGATCGAGGGATTCAGTGCCCCAAGGCTCCAAGAGAGAAGGCTGGACCATGGCTCGTGGTGGCCCGATGAAGCGTCCAGCTGCTCATGGTGGCCCGATGAAGCAGCCAGCTACCAAGGCTCATGGCCCGATGGTGCGGCCAGCTGCTGTGACGAAGGCTCGCAGTGGCCCGATTGTTCGTCCAGCTGCTGTGATGAAGGCTCCCAAGGCTAAAGCTGTGCCCGAGATCCCGAAGGAGGCAGTGGAGCAGATGATGGTGGCGGAACGTGAGGCCGAAGGACTGGGTCCGAATCCTTCGAGTCCACCGAACATCCCTGTGGTCATCGAGCTCTTGGCACGCCACCTGGTGGCCCAGCGCTTCTCCAACTGCTATGTCAAGCGCCACATCCGGCAGATCAAGCCCTACATGACTATGGATGAGCTCATTGCCTTTGTCCGAAGCAGGTTGATACGGGCTGGCGTCCAGGAGGAGTTCATGCAAAACTTGCTGGATGTCGCTCAGTCTGAGTGACGTGCGAACTAATGAGGGTGTGAGGTAGAGTAGGGTCCGAGTCCGAGTGAGGTAGTCTCCAGAACTCCGAAGAACATGAAAAACAGAAGCACGAGGTACTTACACAGTCAATAGGGGCAAGGTGAGAAACACTCGGGCCCGATGTATGATCAAGCATCAGCGTCAAGGGACACCCAGTCCACGGCGATCGCAAAATTCGAGCGGGCTCATCACTGTCTACCAAAGTTTGCTCCATCACCACAAGAATCGACAACAGCCGGTTTACCCCATGAACCCTTTGCTCACCATTTTTTAGTTGCTGCTGCCATGCAGGTTGCCACCTTGTCTTCACCCAGCTGTGTGGACCTTGGTAGGTAGGTCTCAGGTCAAATTGGGCACCACATGCAATTTGTGAGTCAGCAGAGCATGATGATGATACAGCATTTTTGCAATTGGCTCATGTTCAGTTTCTTGCGCAGTAAGGTCCGAATCATACAGCCTTGGACTGGGTTCGATTGCGCCGGCAACTCAGGGAGTGATGCTGCCAACCGCAAATCTTTATTATTAAAGTAGTGCTAGAGGGTTGCCTTCTGAAATAAAGCTTTGCAGGCCCCACTTTGTTCTCCAGATTGCAGTCAGCTCCATGAACCATGATTAACACTTTAGCAACACTGCTAAAGCTGATTAGTATGACTAAATCCAAGCTTGCTGCATTGCCTTTTGCTTTGCATCCAAACCACACAGAGCTCCTGATGTAGGGCTGACAGGCCCCACCAGCAGGCATGACGTATGACAAGATTAGCATTGCTACAATGAATGATTCTAAACTTCATTTGAACCAACTTGAAACTTGCTGCATACTACATGTTTCCACTTGAAACCCATTGTTGTAATGATTACCACTGTCCCTACAAAGTGTTTAGCGCAGGCAGAGTGAACCATTGGTAACGTGAGAAAAAGTTCTTGTATTGTTAATTAATTGAAACCTATTGTATAATGATTACTTACTAATTATGCAGAGCCTTCTGGCAGGCCCACTGGCAGGGATTGATTACTAACTTATGAGGCATAGCCTTACTCGGGCAGGCCTTACTGGCGGGGCCCACCAGCAGGGCCCGCCACTCTCCCCAGAAAGCCGTTGAACACAAGCAATGTGAACCATTGTTGACAATAGAACAGTTACTTTGTTTTTAAATTTAAACCT